CAAAATAAATAAATTAAAATAAATTATTTTATGCACATATGACTTGATGCTAATCTGTCTTTCCTTAGTATGATGGTTCTCACCCTGTGTGTGTATGAAGACCCCTTGGGGGAGGTTGAATGACCCTTTCACAGGGGTCACCTAAGATCATTGGGAAACACAGTTCATAACAGTAGCAAAATTATAGTAATGGAGAATCAACAAAAATAATTTTATGGTTGGGGTCAGCAGGACACAAGGAACTGTATTCAGGTGCCTTTGTGTTTTCTGTAAGTGATAGCACAGGTCCATAATGTGCAGATCCCCCAGCAGCGTCCCGGGAGTGCACTTCATTCCTCCCCAGCATGACTGTGTTGAGGTGACTCATGTAACGTCAACATTTAATGTGTATATAAAATCCAGTGCACCTAGTATGTCACTGAGTTGGGTAACTGTTACCACAACAGATTTTAGAACATTTTTATTACCCACAAAAGAAACCTCCTACCTATGAGACACTCCCATCCCCACCCACCCCACCCAAGCCTCTGGCAACAACTGCTGAGTGTTACAATCCCACATTCTGGACGTGTCCCAGGAATGAAATGAAAAGTCTGTGGGTTTTTTTTCCTCTAGCTTTTTTCACTTAGCATAGAAACATTTATTTACTTCTAGCATGTTAATCTTAGGGCTGTCTGGGGAAGGCTAGGGAGGAGAGATTTGAGGCATGGCCTCTTACCTCCAAGTATGTGTGTGTATGTGTGCCACACTAAGTATGTGGAGGTCAGAGGAAAACTTGGAGTGGGAGGATTATTCCCTCTATCATGTAGGTCCAATCAGGTTGTAATGGTCAATTGTAAGCATCTTTGACCCTGAGTGGTGTCTGCTGTTTTCAGAGTGTTTCACTGTGTAGCCCAGGCAGATGTGAACTCCTGGGCTCAGCTGACCCTCTTACCTCGGCCTCCTGGTTAGCTGAAACTTGGGGTGAATGCCACTGTTCCCAGCTTAGGCTTTCAAGGATTACCTCATATTGTAGTATTAGTATTTCATTACTTTTTATTGTATTATATGGATATGTTAAAATGTTCAGTTGATGTTTGAATTAGCTTCTCTTTTTCCATTATTTTGTATCTTTAGAATTATTTAGAATTTGTATCTTTAAAAATTATTTTTAATTCAGAGCAATCTTTAAAAAAAAAAGATTGGTTTATGACTACTACCACAAAAAGCTTCTGCTAAATTGTTAGGTTTCTTTTTTTCATTTTTCATATAGAAAACAATGTGTTTCCTTTGGTGTTTTTATGCATATGCCATTGTGTTTTGTTCTCCTTCATCCCCCACAACACATGGCTCCCTTCATAGATCATTTAATAAAACACCACAGCTAGAACTCAGGAGAATCCTGACCCGTCTGTCTGATCACATGTCCATCCATCCACCCAGTGATCTGTGGGTCCATTAGGCGTACACACAGAGTGTGAGATTCCGCTGAAGGTGTTCACAATGAGGGTTAGGGGTATGGGGTCAGGCAGGCACATGGATGTGTGTATTAGTCACAGTGGCTGTCATAACAGCACACTAGACTGGATGGGTGAAATAGCAGAATTGTTTTTGGAGCCTAGATCCGAGATCAAGGCGCTGGAAGAGTTGGTTCCTGGAACAGCTTGCCTTTCTGGCAGGTAACCAGCCACCTTCTCTCTTTCTCCGCAGATGGCCTTTCTTTTGTGCTCAGGTACTACCACTGTTTCCTTGGAGTTTACAGTTTCTGTCAGATTGAGGCCCCACCCTATGACCCCATTCAACCTTAATTACCCTCCTAAAGGTAAATACAGTCTATGAATATAGTGAAACATTAGGGGTTAGGTTAGTGTTTCAGTGTATGGACTTGGGACTGAACTAGCTCAATCCATAGCAGAATGTAGACATGTGGCTTCAGAAGAGGGAGAGCGGGAGACAGAGACAGAAAGAGGAGCTTGTCAAATATGGAAGCCTAAAGAACTTTTGGTTACCTAGGAACGTGTGGATGTCTTACTATAAGAGTCTGTGGTGGTTTGAATATGCTTGCCTCAGGGAGTGGCATTATTAGGAGGTGTTACCTTATAGGAGTAAGTGTGACCTTGTTGGAGGAAGTATGTCACTATGGGGGTAGGCTTTGAGACCCTCCTTTTAGCCACATGGGAGATGGTCTTTTCCTGTTGGCTTTCAGAACAAGATGTAGAACTCTTAGCTCCTCTAACACCATGCTTCCTGCCTTGATGATAATGGACTGAACTAATGAAACTGTAAGACAGCCTCAATTAAATGTCCTTTATAAGAGTTGTCTTGGTCATAGTGTCACTTCACAGCAATGGAAATCCTGAGACAGAGTCCTTAAAATAATGTCTATTTTCATTGCTATAATCAAAGACTAGACACTGAATAATTCATATGTAAAAAACTGAAGTTTATGTAGTACACAGTTGTTGGGATTGGAAGTCCTGCCATCTTGTGAGCTGTACCTGGGTCTGTGCTGTGTTATATCTTGCAGGCAAGTGGGTGCATGAAGAAGAGAGAAACCACAATAAGCAGTCACCTAGAACTCATCCAACATCATGAATCTCTTTATGAGGGTGGGGTAAGGACCCAAGCCTCTCAAAGGTTGTACCACCTCTCAACATTGTTTCTCTGGGCACCAGATTTCATAACAAGTTTTGTCTCATGAAAGTCTGGCCACCCAACACATATCTATATCTTTTGATTTGTTTATTCTGGACAAACTACATGGTTGTGAATCAGATTATCTATCAAAAGAAGGAGCAAGGGAATTGTGCAGAGGTTAGGAGGGCCAGAGTTAGTCTCCTGGTAAGGGGCATGCCCGGAGGGAAGGCGGGCAAGTGGGAAGGGAAGAGGTAAGATGAAGACAGACCATGTGGACCATGCTAGGCAAGCATCGCACTGCCAGACCTGTGGAACTGGGCTGAAACTCTGTCCTGAGGCACAGCGAGAAGGAAGCAGGAGACAGACAGGTCTGGAAGAAGCCTTCCAAGCTGCGTCATCTTTGAAGGGAAGGACATATAGTAGCTGGAGGGAGGAATGATGGCCCAGGGAGACTTTTTGTGTTTGTTATCTTTTTTTTTTTTAATGTAATTCTCATTAAATACTCAGTACCTGCAAGTATAATGACTGTGTAGGGGAATGGTGAGATTTAAAGGAACATTCATGGGCCTGGAGAGATGGCTCTTAGTAAGAGCACTGCTGCTCTACCAGAGGACCAGCTCTGATTCCCAGCACCACATGGCAGCTCAGAACTATCTATGACTCCAGTTCCAGGGGATTTAAGGCCCTCTTTCAGCCTTTTGGGAACTAAATATGCACATAGCACCCAGACACATACATGCAGAAAAAACACCCATACACATAATTTAAAAAAAAAAAAGGAGTCAAAAGAGACAAATGAGGTCTACATATATTATGTACATGGAACTTTCCAAAAGCTATTTTATTTAGTAACTTTAAATTTTTATTTTCTTTTTATGTGTGTGCGTGTGTGTGCGTGTGTGTGTGTGTGTGTGTGTGTATATGCACATGTAAATGTAATTCCCTTGAAGCCCAGAAGAGGGCACTGAATCCCCTGAAGCTGGAGTTACAAGGTGTTTGTTTTTTGGTTTTTTTTTGCCACTCAGTGTGGGTGCTGGGAACTGAACTCAGGAGCTCTGAAAGAGCAGCAAAGTGCTCTGAATAGCAGATCCACAAATCAACCCCCCTTGCCCCCCCCCCAAAAAAATAAAGTTACTTCAATGAGTTTGGAGAACACTCTCAGGAACCAAGTCCTGGACGTTGTTTTGTAAACCTGATGGTATGTTTATCATATGGCAGCTGGTATAGTAATGATAAACTCTTGGTTAAAATCCATCATCCACCTTTTTCTTTGGGATGGGGCCTCTCACTGGCCTGGAGTGAGATCTCCTGCCAAGTGAGGCGGGCTCTCTGGCCAGCAAATCCCAGGATCCACCTGCTTCTGCTGTCTCCCTTCTGTCTGCCATGCTCACACTACCACAGCAGCTTCTGTTTTATGTGAATCCTGGGGACTGAACTGAGGGCCTCATGCTTTCAAGGCAAGTGCTTACCAACTGAGCTACCACCTTTGTTAACCCTGTAGGTTTTCTTCCTACCAAAAGTTTTTAGAAGCTGTAGGAAAATAAAATATGTAAACATTTGTGTGTGTGTGTGTGTGTGTATATATATATATGAGAAATAGCCTTACTTTTGTAAAAAAAAAAAAAAAAATTTTTTTTGAGACAGAGTCTCTTGTAGCCTGAGTGGGCTATGGGCTCTCTGTATAGCTGAGGATGGTCCTGAACTTCTGATGCTACTGCTTCCACTAACCCGATGCTGGGATTCCAGGCGTGTTCACCCACCATGGTCAGTCTTATGCTGGAGAGCTGCCCCAAGGCTTCTTTCATGCTAAGCAAATATTTTTAAAACTCAGCTAAATCTACACTCTCACCTCTTCCTGATTCTTAGGTTTTTTGATGTTTTTGTATTTTTTTGAGACATGGTCTTTCTGTGTATCTGTGGCTGCCTAGAACTCACCGTGTATTTGAGGTTGGCCTCAAGCTTGCAGAAATCCTCTCACCTTGGCCTTCTGACTGCACCATTCCCATTTTGGTTTTGTTGTTCTTTTGGGGTAAGATCTCATTATACAGCTCTAGATAGCCTAGGACTTGCAGACCACGTGGGGGTTAAACATGGGGTAATCCCACTGACTTGGTGACTTGGGTCCTCTGTAGTACAACCTGGCCTCAAACCCATTTATGTACCCAGGGCTGGCTTTGAACTCCTTATCCTCCTTCCCCCACCTGCTGGTATTGCATGTCCACCATAACCTCTGCTTGTAGCAAAAAAAAAAAAAAAAAAAAAAAAAAAGCTGTTGATAACACTCTTTCCATTGGACCCGACGTCCAGAAGCATCTTGTAGACAGCTAATTCCTGAGATCTGATATAGGATGCAGTAAACACACTGACTTTTCCTTCTGTTGTAGAAATTGGTGTGTTGGCCAAGACTTTCATTGACCAAGGAAAGCTCATCCCAGATGACGTCATGACTCGGCTGGCCCTTCATGAGCTGAAAAACCTTACCCAGTGTAGCTGGCTGTTGGATGGTAAGAGCAGTGCCCTGAGCATCTCTGCAGCTGACGAAATGAGTGCTGGTAGGAGAATGCGCAGTCAATCGCCTATGAGTCTATCTTTGAAATTTAATTAGTTAACTGATCAACTTACTTTGAGACAAGGTATTATGTATCCCATACTGGCCTCCAATTTGCTGTGGAGCTAAGGATGAACTACAACTTTTGATCCTCTGGTCTCTGCCTCCGAGGTGTTGTGATTGCAGGAAGGGATGGCCAAGCTTGTTTATGTGGTGTTGTGATTCCTTGGGGCTGCCTGTATGCTAGACAGGCATATTACCCACCGAGCTATACTCAAGCCTGTGTTTGAGCAGGTAGCTGCTTGCTTCCTTTTCTGATAGAAAATATGGATACACAGGCCAACATTTTATTCTCGGATTTAATGAGGCCTTGATTCTCTGTGAGATGCTGGGAGTTAGAAGCTTTCCTGGTGGTAGAGAGCCTATGTGAGTCTGTTTAGCTGAAGGAATGAGGTGCTTGAAGGTTGAGTATAGACACTGCCCAGCACAGGGAAGTGGCAAACTTTCCAAGAGACTAGCCCATGGCCATTAGGGGAGTATATCTGGGGACTGGGCCAAAGACAGGGCACCAGGGGAAGGGCCTGGAATGTGGACTAGTTGTTTTTTATTTCTTCATTGTTGTACTGGAACAATGCCTTTTCCTTTAGAAAAACTAAAGCGGATGAAATGTATAAGAAAAGCAGCCTGGAGTCCTCAGGGGTCACACCCTTCTACAGCACTGCTTTTAATTGCCTCTCTTTAACTCAAACAGGCATTCTCTAAAGGAATGAAAGCACGTGTGTTGTAGGAGATATTTAAAATGGCCGCTAGTCAAGCCTACTATCTAAGCTGCAGCGGCTCTGCCTAGCTCAGCCACCATGTTTCTCGGCCAGAAACCACGTGTGCATCACAGCTAGAAATGGCCAGCTAGAAACACCAGCCCTGCCACCCATGAGACGTCAGCGTGGGAGATGGCTCTGCCAATCTTCCACACTGTCTCCACAAGGCTGGGCATTGCCCAGACTATCCCGCCATCCACGCAGGCCCGGTAGAAAAATGAGACTCTAATACTTAAAGATTAATCAAAGGCTTTATATGTTTGGCAATGCTCAATAACAATATGCCCATACAAAGTGAGTTGTTTCCCAATTAGCTAACCTAAATAAAAGTTGTTACCCACGACTGCTCTCCACACCCACGTGGCTCTCCACTGCTCCTACATCTCTGCTCCCCCTAGCTCCTCCTCTTCCTTTTCCTCTTCCTCTCCACACTCCTCCCACCTTAGCTCCTCCTACACATGTGTACAGATAAACTTCCATTCACTATTAGATATAAGTTTTGATCTCCCTACCACCAAGTAATATTTAATATTTTTTTCCTTATTATGTTAGGGTTTTTTTGTTTTTTTTTTTTGTTTTTTTCTGGTGTGACAAATACTTCAGAGAGACAACTGGAAAGTTCCCACGTGTAGACTGAGGAAAACTATGGTTGGAACGGGGCAATGGAAGCCTTAGAGTCGCCTCTACCAGAGAAAACAGTGACTCAAAACCAGTAACACATCCCTGAAGGGATGGAGAAATCAGTGCCACCGTCAAGGACTGAAAAGGTGCAGGGGTGGTGGTCCCCATCACACGTCCCTTTAACTCTCCTATCTGGTCACTGCAGAAGACAGATTATGGAGAATGACGGCTACCAAAAACTAAATCAAGTAGTGACTCCAATTGCAGCTGTTGTACCAGAAGTGGTATCCTTACTTAAGCAGAGTGTGCTAGGATTTCTATTGCTTCCAGGAAACACCATGATCAAAAAGAAAGTTGGGTAGGAAAGGGTTTATTCAGCTTACACCTCTATATCACTGTTCATCACCAAAGGCAGTCAGGACAGGAACTCAAAGCTGGGCAGGAACCTTGATGCCAGAGCTGGTACAGAGGCCGTGGGATGTGGGGGGGGGGGTGCTGTTTACTAGCCTGCTTCCCTTGGCTTGTTCAGCCTGTCCTATAGAACCAGGACCACCTGCCAGGGATGGCCCCATCCATCATGGCCTGGGCCCTCCATCACTGATCACTAATTAAGAAAATGCCTTTACAGCTGGATCTCAAGAAGGCATTTCGTCACCTGTGGCTCCTTCTTCTTTGATGAATCTTGCTTGTGTAAGCTGACACAAAACCACCAGAACACAGAGGAACACATTTCTTGGTATATGGTATGCAGCTCCTGATCTAGCAGATGTGTTTTTTTCTTGGCACTCATTTGTAAGGACCACCAGAAGAATCTGCTTTCATTTGCAAGGCCAGTCGTTTATCTTTATAGTTTTACCTCAGGATAGATGAACTCTCCAGCCATATGTCATAACTTAGTTTGAAAGGATCTTGATTGTATGTCCTATCCACAAAATATCACTAGTGGTTCATGACAGTATGCTGATCAGACCCAATAAGTAGGAGGTAGCAACCATTGTAAAAAAAAAAATAACTTTTGTTATCTCTGAAGGCTTACTGCCTCTGTCTGCTAACCTAGTCCTAGTTCTGTTAGCGATTACCCTCTGTACAATCTAATGTAGGCCTAGAAGGTTCTCAGCCTCTGAGTCTTACTGCTGAATAAGCTCACTCCTTTCTTGTTTTTTTCTGATCTCTAGCTGGCTAGTTCAACTCAGCTATTCTGTCTCAGAACTCCTCTCCACACTGACTGATTCAGTCTGGCTTCTCTGGGCTTCTTCTGAATTGCTCTGCTTGGCCTCAGAGTAACTTTCACAATCTAATCTTCTGGCTCATCATTCTCTGGCTCATTCTGTCTTCACCCTGTCTCTGTAAAGCTCTCTGGGTAAAACTGCCTCCTCCTCTTTCTTTCTCTCTCTGCACTGCTCTCTTAAACAGCTTCCCTTTCCACCCCCCCCCCCTCGTTGGGCATATCCTATCTTTGACTCATTCTGTCAAATCTTTCTCTGATTTGTCACTTTTTCTGCCACTTAATTAGACATCACTTTCAAACAAGGGTGTTTCCTTCTACAAACTAACTTTACCTTCACTGTTTGGAATTAGTGTATACTAAGGGTGTGTGTATTCCAGCCAGAGGACTAAAGGTGTGTGCTAAGGGCTAAGCCACAGTACAATTAGCAAGTTTTTGTTTTCTGTTTTTTTTTTTTTTTTGTGAATAACAATTTCAGTGTTCAGTGTGATCAAATACCTACAATAAACCACTTTGAACTAGTTGGTAGCATATATATACATATCAGAGGATGGGGAATAAATCCAACCAGTGCAATTCTTAGGAGTCCAGTGGGGTGGGGCATGCAGAGATATTCCTTCTAAGGTGGAAGATAAGTTATTATACCTGGCCCTTCATACCACCAAGAAAGAAGTGCAACGTTTAGTGGGCCTATTTGGATTCCGGAGACAGCACAATCCTCACTTGGGTGTGTTACTCTGGCCCATTTACCAAGTGACTCAAAAAGCTGCTAACTTTGAGTGGGGCCTAGAACAGGAGAAGGTTCTTCAACAGGTCCAGGCTGCTGTGTAGGCTGTTCTACCATTTGGACCTGATGGTACGTGAGGTGTTGGTGGCAGACAGGGATGCTGTTTGGAGCTTTGGCAGGCCCAATATGTGAATCACAGAAGAGACCTTTGGGATTTTGGAGCAAGGCTCTACCATCATCTCAGACAACTATTCTCCCTTTGAGAGAGAGCTTCTGGCCTATCTGTGCCTTAGTGGGAACTGAACATTTGCCAGTAGGCCACCAAGTTACCATGTGACCTGAGCTGCCCATCATGAGCTGGGTGTTATCTGACTCACTTGGTGGCAGGTTGACTACACTGGATCACTTCCTCTGTGGAAAGGACAATGAAAACATTGTTCTTACTGGAGTATACTTATTCTGGTTATGGATGTGCCTTTCCTGCATGTAATGCTTCTACCAAAACTACAATCCAAAGACTGATAGAACCCCTTATCCAACATCATGGTATTCCACATGGTATAGCTTCTGACCAAGGAATTCACTTCACAGCCAGAGAAGTGCAGTGGTGGGCCCACAATTGTGGAGTCTATGTTTCCCATCATCCTGAAGCAACTAGGATAGAAAAATGGAATGGCCCTTTGAAGACACAACAATGCCAATTAGGTGGCAGCAGCCTAGATGTCTGGGCAGGCTTCTCTAGAAGGCAGTATATGCTTTGAATCAGGGTCCAATATGTGGTAGGGCTTCTCCCACAGCCAGGATCCACAGCTCCAAGGAATCAACGGGTAGAAAAGTGAATAGTTCCACTATTGCCCCTAGTGACCCACTAGGAAAATTTTTGCTTCCTGTTCCCATGATCTTAAGTGCTCCTGGCCTAGAAGATTTGGTTCCAGAAGGGGGAGTGCTCCTGCCAGGAGCCACAAGTCTTCCACTGAACCGGAAGCTCAGACTTCCCCCTGGCCACTTCGGGTTTCTGAGGCCTTTAAACCAACAGGCTAAAGAACAGTGTTAGGAAGGTGATAGATCCAGATCACCATGGGGAAACTGGACTGCTTCTCCACCATGGAGGTAAGAAAGATGATGTTTGGAGTGTACGAGATCCATTAGGTCTCTCTTGGTGCTACCATGTCCTGTGATTAAAGCCAAGGGGAAACTCCAAAAATCTAATCCAGGCAGGATGACAAAGGGCACAGATCCATCAGGAATGGAAGTATGGGTCACTCCTCCGGGAAAAGCGCCAAGACCTGCTGAGGTGCTTGCTGAGGGAGGAGAAAATTGAATGGGTGGTAGAGGAAGGTAGTAATCTATACCAGCTAAAGCCACATAACCAGTTACAGAAATGATAACTGACATGAATGCTTCCATAAAATTTTATTAAGAATGTTCTTGTACAGATATTTTCTTTCCTTCATTTTTATCATACAACAGCAATTAAGAGATTATCACTGGCTATATTTAAGTTTTGAGATAACTAAAAGAATGTCCCTTAAAGGGCATTTGCCACCTGTTCTAAATTTATAATGTGTTTGCAGCTGTGTGAGGGATAGTTATATCATGTTAATTATGACCTGGTTAAATATATGTTTGTGATTTTAAGTGGGGTAGTTATGTTTAGGCATTATTATGACCTGGTTGTCTTCATTTGGAAATTAAACATGACATACAGTTGAGAAAGGGTGGACTTGTGATGGCTGTTCTTGGTTGTCAACTTGACAGTGACATCTGGAATTAACTAAAACTCAAGTGGCTGGGTACACCTGCAAGGGATTTTATTTCCTTACTTCATTTGAAGTGTGAAGACCCTCTTTTAATCCAGATCCACCTTTAATCTGGGCCATACCTTCCGCTGGCAACCTATATAAAAGACATGGGAGAGGGAAGCTTCCTCTTCCTTGCCTGCTTGCCCGGGCTCTCCCACTGGCAAGTCCATTCCTTCACTGGCATTAGAGCCTAGCTGGCATATACTGAGGACTACCTGAGACATCTAGCCTCATCTCATGAACTGAACAACTATTGAATTATTGGATCTTCGATGGATTGACTACCTGGACCACAGCCTATATATAAGTCAGTCTCTCTCTCTCTCTCTCTCTCTCTCTCTCATGCACACACACCACACACACACACACACACACACCCATATCCTCTGTCATTGCCCATTGGGCACATGACAAAGTGGCCATGGTGGCAGAGATTGAGACAGACTCAATAACATGTACTTCAGCTCACCAAAGCTGACCTGGCTACAGCTTAGGTTGCATCTGGGTTTTTAATGTTTGGAATGATGGTGTAAAAGAATGTTTCTTTTCTTGTCACAGGATATTTCGATTCAGGCCTTTTATCTCAATGGATGTTTTGTTCTGAGTTATTGAAGATGAACATTTTTTTTAAAAAAATTGTGTAGAGTGCTTTGCCTGAACCTATGTATGTGTACTACATGTGTGTGATGCCCTTAGAGGCTAGAAGGGACATCCGACCGAGCTCCTGGAAGTAGAGTTACTGGTGGCCGTGGATGCTATGTGGGTGACGGGAACCGAAACTGGGTCCTCCGCAAGAGCAGCAGTATGGACACTGTAGTAAGAATTGGGTCAATAGAGGGGTATTTCTGTTAGACTTTTTTCAGTGTAAACTCTTTGGTTACAAGCATAGGTGTTAGGTTAGACAGCTTGTGCTCACATTTCACTGTCTCTGAACAGCTTTACGAGCTACAGAAGGCATTTGCTGTTGTGCTGCTTCCTCTCCTCATTTGTAAATGAGGATAACAACAGCACCTGTCTTATGGTTACTAGGACAGTTGAAAGAAACGGTCCCTGTAAAACATGTAATGTTCAGACTTCGGCATATGAAAACATTCTGTGAACTGCTATTCTACTATTCTCTTTCTTTTTTTTGGGGGGGATGGGGGTTCGAGACAGGGTTTCTCTGTGTAGCCCTGGCTGTCCTGGAACTCACTCTGTAGACCAGGCTGGCCTCGAACTCAGAAATCTGCCTGCCTCTGCCTCCCAAGTGCTGGGATTAAAGGCGTGTGCTACTGCCCGGCCTTACTATTCTCATAAAGCATATTAAAGTTGTTTCTCTCAGATGACTTACTTCATTACAAAATTTATAGTAGGTGATTTTTTCCCCAACTTGGGGCTATATAAAAGTTACAGGTTGAACCTCTTGCCATTCCTTTTCTTTTGGAGGCTATTTCCCCTCCATCCAGGTTTCTTGTTATTTTATCACATTATAAGGCCTAAGTCGTGAACAAAGTTTCCCATGTTTGTTAGCAAGATGTGTTTTTAGCTCCAACAAATCATTGCAATTGCATTTTAACCTTTATCACTTTTGAAAAAATGTATTATTTCCATCAGTTCTAGCTTTTCCATGTGTTCTGGACACAATGTCCCTAGTCATAACATTGCAAAGTAAAAAATTTGGGATCAGAATAGTATTTCACATTCCCCAATGTGGTTGGGGATCCAGGAATCGGATCTAGCTGCTTTTCTATTTTTGAACCACATTGTTTAAACTATTTTAGCTGCACTGGCTGAGTATCCTGTTTCTAAAGTGTCTCAGACCACATGCTTTCTATCAGGGTTTTTGTACTTTGGGCTGTGTAGACTTTACCAGCTGAGCATTCCTTAACACCCTCAATTCTAAATCCCAAATCAGACACTTTGTGACGTCATTGAATCTCGATTTCTGGATTAGGGATGTTCAGACTGTAAAAAATTGTTTTGCATGTTACCCTGTACTTTGCTGTCATATTCTGAACACAGCCTCCTGGGGGTTTGAGTGCAGCTGACACTGTCCTCCTGATTCATCCTCTTCTGTTTTCTTTTTAAAGATAGGGTTTCCCTGTGCTGCTCTACTTAGCTTAGAACTCACAAAGAAGACCAGGTTCTCCTCAAACTCAGAAATCAGTCTGCATCTCTACCTCCCAAGTGCTGAGATTAAAGGAGTGAGCCACCATTCCTGCCTTAGTGTGTTTGTGTGAACTCGCCATGTGTGTGCAGGTTGGAGGCCTGAAGGTGTCAGGTCCTTTGGAGCTGGAGTTACAGGTGCTTGTAAGCCACTGGACTGGGGTACTTTGTGTTTGGGTGGTTTTGTTATTTTAGAGAACCAAATGTAGTGACTCACACTGGCTCCACCCGAGATGTGCTTTTATGAGTGCTGTGCTTGCATGCTACGCATGTGTACCATGTGCATCCCTGGTGCCCTGGGAGGCCAAGAGGTAAAATCTGATCCCTCCAACTAGAGTTATGATGGCTTTGAGCTTCCATGTGGGGGCCAGGGTTTGAACCTGGGTCCTAGGCAAGAGCAGCAAGTGCCTTAAATCACTGAGCCATCTCTCTAGCTCCTTTCATTTGGTTTTGAGACAGTCTCATGTAGTCTCATTAGTGTGTAGCCAAGGCTTTGAACTCCGGGACTTCTTGTCTCCACTTCCCATGCAATGGGATTACAGGTGTGCCTGACTTGAGTTCAGTTTGGCTGGGAAGCATGGAGATAGTTAGATGGTGAGCAGACAGTCTTCCCTTACGTCTTTACTCAGGCTTCCAACTCTTTCACCGAGGCTTTTCAACCCTGGGAGGGCAATGTGCTGTTTATACACAAATATGGTCACATGCACTCTCAGAATGTTTGACCAAATATCTGAACACTCTACAGCCCAGTCAAGTAGACATCAAATTTGATTTCAGTATATTACAGCTCTGGTCAGTATGCCTGGTGTCATTCCTTGGGTTCAATTTGCCTAACATGTTTTCTTTCTTGCTTTCTCGTCCCCTCTCTCCTCCCCTCACTCATATAAAGGATTTCCAAGGACACTTCCACAGGCAGAAGCCCTGGATAGAGTTTATCAGATAGACACAGTAATAAATCTCAACGTGCCCTTTGAGGTCATTAAACAACGCCTTACTGCTCGCTGGATACATCCCGCCAGCGGTCGAGTATACAACATTGAATTCAACCCTCCCAAAACTGTGGTGAGTGACTGCAGCGAGCTGAGCTGACATCCACCCTAACAGGCATAGTTCTGTGAACTTGTCATCCTGTCTGACCAAGACTACTGCTAGGGTATTGTCTCCTGAAGCCTGGTAGTAAAGGTGTGTTCCTGCTCTGACAGGTCTGTTAGTCATTCAGAAGTGCCATGGTTGAAATATGAAATGGCCCCTTGGCAGCTCAATGTGTTGTCTGCTTGGTCTCCAGATTGTGGCATAGTGTTTGAAGTGGAACACAACTCACAACTGGAAAAAGTGTGCCACTGGGACCCCTGCAGCTTATGCATGGTCCTTGGTCCCTTCCCCACTCTGCTTCTTGTGCATCCTGTGATAAAAACCCCACGCATCCAACCACCTGCACCCACTCCAACCATGATTCATGAGCCCAAGCAGCCAAGATTTGGAGCCTTTGAAACCATGTGCCCAAATAAATAGTTGCAGCAATGAGAAACCTAACACAGAAAAAAAGCATTTTTTATTTTACTCTGTGCCAGAGTGTGATTGAAGGGCAGAGCAGTGAAGATTGGCAACACTGGCTCACAGTTGGAATTTCTAGTACCTCCAGTATCTCATGTCTGGGAGCCAACCCTTGAGGACTTGGGCCTGCGGGAGAAGAGGCTTCCAAATCTAAACCGTGCAGCACTATGCAAGACCTGGAGTCTGGCAGCGGCCAAGCTTGGCCTTTAGTTTGGATGCGGTTTACTATAACAGTAGCACGTGTTTGTGATTGGTGATTGAACACAGAAGCTATCTGCTTAAATGGATACAGTATTGCTAAGTTGACATTCTTCTGTTGGCTGCTTAGGGCATTGATGACCTGACAGGGGAACCTCTGATTCAGCGTGAGGACGACAAACCAGAGACAGTGGTCAAGAGACTAAAGGCGTATGAAGCCCAGACTGAGCCAGTCCTGCAGTATTACCAGTGAGTTTCTGCTTTTCTCAGCTTGCACAACCAAGGTTTTGATTTTCCATACTTTAGCTGAAATACTAAGCTACCAGAGGACCTGATCCCAGCTGCCTTAAGCAATAAGGAAATTTCTAGGCTTCTGTAAAGAAAAGAACACCAAAAAGTAGGCAGGGCTTCTGTCTCCTAGGTTCACCTGCTTTTGTGTACTGACTTTGTCTTCCTCCTTCCCGCATGGTTGCAGTTTTTGCCAGAAAGGCTGTCTTCCTCTTTCATGAAGGCCTGAGTACACCTTTTATTAAGTAAACAAAATTTTGCTCTGAGCATCACTCACTGGTCAGGGAACCTCATACTTACTGTTGTAGGCCTGGGCTACTGCCAGTGTCAGCATCAGTTGTGGGGCTGGGGAGGGTGGGTATGGACTAGTCCACAGCCAAGGCTTGGAGGCTCCATTTCACCCACATTCTGCCATGCAGTGGATGGCTGCAGCCAGTGCTGGAGCACTAAGTACAGTGGTGACTACCAGTGTGCCAAGAGAGGACACTTAAGCATAGAATTCCAAATGGCAGCCAAGCCTGAGGATCCTGTAATGTGGTCAAACGTCTTTGAAAGTTCACATTTTTAGCTGCTCTTCAAGGAAATCTGTATCTTAGAGGATATGAGAACTACTGAGCTGATACCCGACTCTGGCCAAGCAGCAGTCTGGTCTCCTCAGCCCTTCCTTCTTCCAGGAGGTGTGTGGAATTCCAGGGGATTGCTTTCATTGTATCCTGCTAATAATGATCCAGGGGCAAAGCAGTATCTGCTGTTGGAATGCAAGCATAGACGCCAGAGTCAGAAAGCCCAGGTTCAAACCCCAGCTTGCTATTTAATTAACATGGCCTTCACCTCTTGCTTAACTTGTCTGGTTTCTCTTTCATGAAATGTGGGTGAGGCTGGAGGCTTGAAAGTTAGTATGTGTAACTCCTAAAATTGTCCCAGACGCACAAAACATACTGGACATGTATTAGCTGTTCTTGTGGTGGCCATTACTGCTTCATTAGGATAAGCATGCAGGAACATTTGAAGCCAGCCTCTGAACTGTCCTGATGCTTCGAATAGTTTATTTCTCGAGGGTGAAGTTACAAGAGTTGTCAATTCCCTTCCTACAGCAGCCATTACTGTGTTTGTGTGTCGAGTCTGCCTCTGAAGACTGACAGCTCTATGACACTTGCAAGGCTTTTCATCTCTGTGCCACTGATTCCTTACTTACAGCCAGTTAGTATATAGTATATTGCTTTATAGAACCAGTAGGGACTTGAAGTGAGAGATGCTCGGGAAAGGTTTGAAGAATCCTCAGCTACTGAATCAATGGTGGGTACTCTTCCGGCACTGTGCCAGGTCCCTGTCCATGCAGACAATTAGACTCAGTTCCTAAGAGCCTCCAAGAAACTCACTTTGTATGGATAATGGGGAGAACTAGATAAACAAGGCTTACCATGCAATAAGATACAGCATGTGTTTATCATCATCAGAAACCACTCACACTGCTTACGCAAATAGTGCTGGGGGCTGGGGGGAGGGTCCAAATACAGCTGGCTGGCCCAGGGGCTTAAGCACTGCCATTAAAACTCAACCTTTTCAGGTCCATTCCCTGTTGGCTTCAGTCACCAGAGGTTTCAATGTCTTCTGATTTAGCTCAGCTCCTGCCAGCTCAGTTAACTGAACAGGAAAGACATTCTGCCCCACCCCCAGCCCCCACCCCCAGCTAAAGTCATGGGGCTGATGGTGATTAGCTCCAGCCATGCACTGTTGAGGATGTGGGAACAAGTTCACTAGCACCTCATGTACTGAGTGTGGTCAGCTTGATTGTTCTACAGGACACAAAACAGAGAATGCTTTGTGTCTGGGCAGATAAACACTACCACCAAGGGACTGTGACAGGAGAAAATGCCTGTAGGGATTAGTTCTGTCAAAATGTGGCAAGTTGGAAAAAGCTATAAACCAGTGACTGGGGAGCTTGCATGGGGGAGGGGGGAGGGAGTGTCTCTCTTTTTGGGCTTCTGCCACTTATTGCCATAAATTCAAGCTTTTCTGCCTAAGATACCATGCACAGACTTACCTCTGGGCTTACATGGAAATGGGAAGAGCCTTAAAAAGAAACTACGTAATAGCCAGTTTTGTTATTTTAAAAAGCTTACAGTAGTTGCCCTATTCTTTGCAGCCATGGAATGTTCATCTGTTTGGAGACATGATGTTCTTATTCTTTGGAAGACTAATTTTTGTAGCTGGTTCCATTTCATTACAGAGAAATTATAATGGGCAAGTGTTCACATGGTACAGCTTAGGAGTGAACAGTTCGGCAGTACCGCACTCCTGGTACCATAGCTCAGTGCTGAAGTGTCTCTCAGAGGCTTTCTTGTTCAAAGCTTGCTCTCCACAAAGCTCTACCTGCTGGTGAATTCAGACACTAATGTAAATATCGCCTTTGCATTTTTTCTCTGTAGCAGATGCTAGTTTACTTAGAAAGCAGCTGCTATTATTTAACCTCACAAATGTTATGAGGTGTCAATAGAGGGGCCCTTTTGTCCCAGTGAAAGCCCATTGAGAATGGCTGTAGAGCCATCATAGCCTGTTTTTGGAAAGTAATAAACCAAGTGTTATCTGCCCCACGGGTGACTTGCAAACCAGTGTGCCCACCCTAGAAATGAGTGTGGGTTAGGAGAGTTCAGAACCTTAAGGTGGTTCTGTGTGGTCTGAGAAGCAAATCCCAGGATTCTGAGTGCCACACTTCATCTGTCCCCCTACTGAACACTGGAACAGAATACATATTCAACCATTGGTCTGTTTGGTGACAAGCCAGACAACCTGCAAGGATAAACGGAGAACCCTGACAGAAGAAAGAGGTTAGGAAGGTAGAATAGTAGGGAAAAGGTGCTTGGTCAAAGGTAGGATAATGAGTGTTAGAGACTTCTGTGGACAAAGCAAAGCCAAGGTGATGTCCTGGTGGCTGATGGCTCTGTTTTGAACCTGTCAGCCTGGTGACTGAGGCTGAGTACCTACACAGAGGATGTGTGTCTGCAAGGAGGAGCAGCTGGACTTTTGGCATGATGTAAAGCGTTAGTATAGGCTTAACCAACAACAAATCTCAGTGTGACAGCTGACATCCTTTTAAAGAACTCCTTTCTTTACGCCAGAGGACAGAACATGAACTGCAGTCTAGATTTTGCAATGTCCAGCCAAGTTCCTTCCCCCTGGATCAGAGACCTAAACACATAGGACGTCTAAACTCACATGAACTTTAGAAACTGTTTTGAAAAAGCGCATCAGGCACATTCAGACCTGTGTAATCTACCTACCTATTTTGTTTTTCATCTTTAGGAAAAAAGGGGTGTTGGAAACATTCTCCGGAACAGAAACCAACAAGATATGGCCCCACATATACTCCTTTCTACAGACGAAAGTTCCAGAAACTATTCCAAAAGCCTCTGTTACTCCCTGAGGAGGGCAGCAATTGGCAGGATGAAGCAGGGCCTCCTCTCCTCTCCTTGCCTCTGTATTTCGAAGCTCTTTTCCTAAGACTTCTCTAAAAATTATGATTTACTCCTAATGGCTGTGCCAAATGAGTCAGATACTAAGCCTGATCTGTTAAAATAGCCTCATATGTTTAATCTAGGATCTAGTTGTCTTCTGTGGATGTGCAATTCAGAAACATCAGAGATGCTGAATCAAACAAACTCAGAGCACAATTAACGGAGCAACTGGTAGTCATCTAACCTTCTGTTCAGTTAGTCAAAGTGGTTGATCACATTTTCATGTTTTTCTGGAAAAGTTAAAAAAAATTAGGTATCACTTGAGGCAGATAAATATCTCATTAGAGGCTTTTGCATAAACCAATGCCCACTGCAATCCAGAAAGGTGTTTTCTAGTCCGAGGGGATGTGGTATTAGAAGACACTGTCTATAGATTCCAGAAAGCAAGCAACGGGCTTTACAGATATTACTAGATGCAAACTCACTGCTGCCTTTATAGGAAAAGCCAGGGCACAGGGCCACCACGCTGTGTCCTCTACTTATTCAATCCGCTATGAAAATGCAGCCACTGGCACTTAGGGACCAGTGACTTGAATATGGATTGTTTTCTTTTTCAAACATGCATGGACTGAGGTATATGATTTATGTTAACTGACAATGGAATTAAGCCCTAAGTTCCCACATGCTACTCAGGTTGAGGACCATGTTGTTAGGACCTACCTGTCAGTTTTCCTCTTTGATCTAAATGGACTGTCTGCCTTGATGAGCAAGATAATAAACAGAAGACTAAAGGGTAAGACAGCATCCACGGCAGACAATATCCATGGGCATTTGCCACTGTGGAGTAGACGGGACATGCCAGGGACAGCCCCTTGACAGAAAGACCAGTCAACTAACCAACAGGTGTAGTAATTGAAGGATTTGCATGGTGGGTTCAAAGGCACTGTAAAGAGCTTCCTTAAGGACATTTATACCTGTGTTGAAGTTCTAAACTCAAGATCTTGCCTCAGCCTCTCTCAAGTGCTGGCATCACTGTGTGCTACCACTTCCTGCCCTACTTTAAAGGGAAACAACTCTACTGGTAGCATCTATGCAGCCTCGTCTTCTACCTACAGCACTGGGATCCAATCACGCCTGTACGCTGGGCAAGCATCCTACACTGTGCTGTCTCCAGCCCTTTCTGTTGCTGCTGTTGGTTCTGCTGGTGGTTCAGTTCTGTGTAGCCCAGGTTGGCTTGAGACCATTCTGTTGTCAACACTGGCCCCACATCCGTGGCCTCCTTCGTCTCTCAAGTGCTCACACTACAGGTGGATACCACTAAACCAACCCCGAGAACCCATCTTAAAATGGCAGTCACTTTAGACTCCTTAGTAAGGAATCTAAGGACAAGGACCTGCCCTTATATTTTGTGGCCTGAAGGGACAAAATGGGAGAAGTTCAATAAAAAGACATTTCCACCTTTCAGGAAGATGTTCTCTTATTTTACTTGGTGCTAAATCAAAGAATCAAGCCCTTGTTCCAGCCTTTGAAATTCTGGCCTACCTTATTTCAGACACTCGGAGTACAAATGCCAACAAATGGATCTTACGTATTTGGGAGTGAGAAGGAATCTCCGATGTTTAAATTTCACTGTTGATCTTCCAAAATGGACTAGGCCTTAGGATCACAATGAACATCTTGTCCTTTGTCAATGTTTCTCTACTGCCTTAGCTGATGTTGATAACCACTTTCTAAAACCTGTTGTGAATTACCTAAACCTAGGACTCATCAGCAGGTGATAACAGCACTGTGGCTGTTGTCCTTTGTCCCTGGCCCTTCACAAGACCCTAAACCCCCTTCCTGTCTGCTCCCACAATGTCTCACTGGCTTCTTTCTAATAAATGGTCTTCAAACAGTACTCAGGCTGTTTGCATTTTCATCTTCATTTCCGGCTTTAGAAACATAGTCAAAAGGCTTTCAAGACACTGTTATAAGATATGGAGGTTAAAGAGGGTTAGAGAGTGTGAAGTAACAAACTTCCCCCCTCCCCGCTGTGACCAGATCAACCAAGATTTTCCATTTGGGAAACTTGTATAGCTTCTTTTCTATTAAAACAAAAGGAACTTGTCTTCTGCTGCTGGATAGGCTGATGTCAGACACTGATTAAGAGGATCCTTGCTGGGGCTGGAGAGGTGGGTCAGCAGGAAGAGCATTGGCTTTTCTACCAGAGGACCTGGGTTTGATTCCCAGCACACGCACAGCAGCTCATAACTCTCTGTAGCTCTAGTTCCAGGGAATCCAATATGTCTGGCGTCCATGGTGTCCATGGGCACCATGCACAAACACACATGCAGGCAAAATACCAATACACACAAGATTAAAAAAAAGAAAGAACGATCATTACTGAATACATGCTTCTTAGAAGCAGAATGCTGTGACAGCCAGTGAGAGAGTTTTATTTTTGTGTCCCGTGGAATATTCGTGGAGCTGAAGGCTCTGGGCAGCACTGTTATCTTCTCACTGACAAAAAACCCCCATCCATAACTACAGCTTGGATTCAATTTTATTTTATTTAAACAATTAAAACAGTCTAGCTCGGCTTAAAAAGCATTAATAAAAGCCAGTAAGGTTTTTGAATCTCTAGCATTCCCCTACATGTTTTTGAAAAAGATTTTATTATTTATTTGTTTATGTGCACATGTATGGGTACCTGTAGAGGCTATAGGAAGGCATCAGGTCTCCTGGAATTGGAATTACAGGAGCTTGTAAACCATCAGCCATGGATGCTGGACACCGAACTCTGGCCCTCTGCCAAAGCAGCAAGTGCTCTTAACCAATGAGCCATCTCTCTAGCCCCCATGTTTTTTCCCTTTTAATACTTTTTAAAAAGATTTATTTATATGTTTTATGTATGAATGCTCTATCTGCATGTGTACCTGCACACCAGCAGAGGGCATCAGATCCCATTACAGATGGTTGTGAGCCACCATGTGATAGCTGGGAACTGAACTCAGGACCTCTGGGAGAGCAGCCAGAGTTTTTTAACCACTGAGCCACCTGTCCAGCCCATAGCTCACACTTTTTACAGCTCCCTAAAGACCATGGGTTTTTTTGAATACAGCACCAAGCAGTATCATGCCAAGTATGGACTGGCCAGCTGCATGCTTTCCCATAGGACCCCATGCATCAGAAGAGTAACATAAGAAACCAAGTAAAAGATGCAGGGACTTCAGAAATAATCTTCTACCTTTAGAAATGATTAGTTTTTAAGGCCTATGAGAATATTTTCACTTTTGTTAATGATAATAGGCAATCTATAATCAAAATGTATTTCTCTTTGTAATTCCCCATTACATGACATTATAAGCAAATCAATACCATATAGATCAGCTTCTTGGACAACCTATGAAATAGTACAAAAACACCCGTTACAGAGGGAAACAGAATGCTGCATTATTTAAGGGTCTTTCTTGCTAAAATGTGAATGGTATGCTGGAAAAATGGAAATGAAAATACAACCCCAATCCAGACAAGCACCACTTTGAGAACCGAAATGTGACTCACTCTGAGAATAGTAAATTGACTTTACTTTTCTCTGAAAATACCCCAGGGTTAAGCTGAGAATACCTTGTTGACATTTCCACTGTAAGGAATGCCACTTATTAACAGAGATGTATGCTCTTTGGGGAAGCATGTTAATTTACTTAAAAAAAATTTAAAAGTAAAAAAAAACCCTTCAAATATTCATATGTGTATGTATATATTCTATACATATATGAAGGTTGAATGAAACTTGAGGAAGTTGGTTTTCTCTTTCCATCATTTAGATCCCAGAGATTGTCAGGCTTGGTACCAAACACGTTCACCAAGTGAGCCATCTCAACAGCCCTTATTCACTTTTAAAACAGTATGAATGCTAGTCTAAAAAAAAAAAGCCTAATGTTTCTGAAGAGAAATTAAAGGCTATTATAAGCTCCTTTGGTAAAAATTTTGAAAGACCCCATAGATGGTGTAATTAAAAGCGAATCTCAGAGTAATAATTCTAACCAGTATTTTCTCCACTACCATTCCATCCTGTTCTTCCTGTCTCTCTCCTAAGACAGAGTGTCATCTAGGCAGAAGGCTGTGAAGCTTGCTAAGTAGCTGAGGGAAACTATGACCGTCTTTTTTTTTTTTTTTTTGGTTTTTTCGAGACAGGGTTTCTCTGTGTAGTCCTGGCTGTCCTGGAACTCACTCTGTAGACCAGGCTAGCCTCGAACTCTCGAACTCAGAGATCCGCCTGCCTCTGCCTCCCAAGTGCTGGGATTAAAGGCACGCGCCACCACCACCCGGCTCGACTATGACCTTCTAACCCTCCTGTCTTCACATCCCCAGCACTAAGGCCACAGGTATGGGCCACCATGCCCAGTTTATGTGGTGCTGAGGATGCAATCAAGGGCTCACTGAATCTTAGGCAAGAGCTCTACCAACTGAACCATATCTAAGTCCTCAGCTATTTCATTAAAATAAAACAACAGTCTGGGGGCTGGAGAGATGGCTCAGCAGTCAAGAGCACTGACTGCTCTTCTAAATGTCCTGAGTTCAATTCCCAGCAACCACGTGGTGGCTCACAACCATCTGTAATGGGATCCGATGCCCTTTTCTGGGGTGTCTGAAGACAGCTACAGTGTATTCAGATAAAGTAAATTAAAAATTAACAACAACAACAAAAAAAACCCCACAGCAGTCTGTTAAATACTTTGATGTCAACTATTTTTCACTGATTAACTGATGAGTTTGAATTTCTCATAGATTAGGGAATTACTATTCTTTATTACTTAAGAGAGGAAATTTATTCTTGCTGGAGATAGCTAGCTGAATACTAAGAAAGCATTTTCAAAATCAAGGAAATAGAAGGACTCCAATAGACTGTCATTTTGTTTTGAGATCGTCTCTCTACGTAGCTCTGGGTGTCCTTGAACTCAGAGAGATATACCTGACTCTGCCTCCCAAGTGCTAACCATGTGCTACCACACACAGCCTAATATATCACCTTAATACTAAAGTCCTGCCAATGATTAAGTTACCATCCTTAAGTGCAAATTATGACATTCATTAGTGGTTCCTTTGGTAAAAAAGTTCCAGCCAAGTATTAAAAAAGTTTCTCTTAAATCAATTCTCATCTTGGAAAACAAAACCAAAATAAACTTTAAAAAATTATATACTCACTTTGCTAATACTTCTGTTTTTGTTTTGGCCATTAAAAACTTTAAATTATAGAAGACAAAATGAAGGCCACAGCCATTTGGGTGTCCACAGACAAGTCACGAGCAGAGTGAAGTCTGAGTGGAAAGTGGTCAGCAAGGGCCACTTCTGTGAAATCAGGGCTTTCTTTTCTTCTATTCTGTCCATTTGGTATCAAGAGGGAAACTGAGAGCATGCTCCAGAAAAGAAGAAAAAGAGAGAAAAAATAAAACAAATATCTTCCATGACTAGGTCACTGATTAAAAAGAAACTTACAAGCCAGTGAGCACTGCCATATAAATTAGTCAGACATTTTATTATAGAGTATATATATTTATATCAAAAGCACAAAAAGACTTTTATTCTGGGAACTAGGAAGATTGTGACATTACAGGAGTATGATTCAACAATTCCAGTCCATTTCCAAAGTATTAGGTGCCCCATCAGCTGAACAGGACAGCAGAGGTGGAGGTCACCGCTCTGAGCTCCCCATGGCCGCTTAGCATGATTCCCTTATTCACACTGAGACCTGCATTCCCAAACCCCAGGTACCCACTTTGCTACAAATTGAAGTGGGACTGAGCCAAAGATTACACTCAAAAATAACCAAAGCTAGTGCTCCTGTATGCTGGAAGATTAATCCTCAAATAATAAGGATATCATAATTGGCACTGTCATCTAATTCTAAATAAAAGAATCATCAAACATCCTGGTGGATCTGCAATGAATTACACAGGAAGAAGTGAAGCTCAGAAGCATCCTCTAGTAACTGAGCTAGAAGCGAGTAGCAGACAGAGTGAGACCCATCGCTGCCACTGAAGGAGACGGTCAGCAAATTCTTAGGCATGGCTGGCAGCTCAGGTCTACCTTTCTCACGGCTTCACCATATCACACACAGAACTGGGATGTAACAAGGACCTTACTCTTCCTGTTTGTTCTCACAGGCCGTTTCAATCCTAAAACTTACTCCCTGAGAGGTCCCAGACTATGTCAAGTAAATTAGGGTAAGCTTGCATTTTATCTTCTTGGAAAATCAGAAAACTGTATCATTTTCTAAACTCACTACCCTCCTTAATATTTAAACAGTCATCAGGACAAAGTCGACTTCTGAACAGTTTTGAGACTACTGGGGATAAATGTAATGTTTTTAATATCAAATTTATACTAGTCAAGGAATTAACTGGTGGTGCCGAAAATACAAATTAAATATCTTAAAACATTAATTTGTGCCATCCAGCTTACTTAATAGTAAAGTAGCTTACCACTACTCATTTATTGCTTTTAATGTGATAAATACCAGATCTGACAGCTGAACTTTGCAGTGGGACACAGCGTATTTTTATCTTTAATTCTTTCCACGAAGTAGGACATGTATATATCCATGTAAAAAAGACTGTGTAGCAGATGTCTCCTCAGTCAACCAGTCTTGTAAACATTGCAGTGTGCAGATTTTCATACTTTGATTCCAAAAATAAGAACAGTTAAAGGCAAATTTAGTAACTGAGGGGTGGGGGAGAGTCCGTCCAGTTTGACTTCCTGCAACATATGGTTACCACTCCTCCCTTCAGAAACAAAACAACAACAAAAACCCTAGCAGCACATAAAAAAAGTTGCAAAACATTTCAGTACTCTTTCCCTCCCATCAAAACCGAACAAAAATAAAGTGCAGCACCCATAAAAGTGTCAAGAAAATAGCCAGGCTCTTCCTTTCTTCTAACAAACTAGTCCTTGGGCTCAGCAGTCTAGCTGAGTCACACAGTGTCCATCATTCTGTCGTCATCTTCTTTGTGTACCACTGAGTCTACACTGCACAGAGGGGCAGGGGTACAACACTGAAGAGAATCTGGATTCTGGGGGGAGAGAGAAAGAAAGACAGACGGGGAACAACACTTGAAAAGCAGCTTCACACCACACATCAACTGTGCACATGGCTTCACCTTCTAGTCCTCTGCAGCATAGCAAATTAGGAAAGAAAGTGGATCTTTGGAGTCCACAGACTGAAACCTGAAGAACTAAAGATAGGAAGTTATTCTTTCTCAAAGAGATGTGATAAAAACAGAGTACATAGACATGACCGGAAATGGTACAGATACCCCCTTTAACTCTTTCAACAAAACTATAATTTTAATTCCTTAACCATACAAGGTTAAATTTCATCATAAGCATTGTATTTAATAAATATGCCTTTAGAAGGCTGGAGAGATGACACAGCAGTTAAGATTACTGGTTGTTCTTCCAGAGGACCAGGGTTTAGTTCCCAGCATAGACACAGCAGCTCACAAACATCTGAAACTCCAGTTCCAGGAGACCTGACTGCCTCATCTGGCCTCTCTGGGCACTGTATGCATGTGACGCACAGACAGAGATTTAGGCAAAACACTCATACATATACAATTTAAAAACTACATTTGTTAAAATACAGTTTTTAGCCAGCAATGTATTCTTAAGATTACTATCTAATTTTAAGAGTTAAGTACTATCAATGTAAAACATTTAGATAAAAGTCTACCTACTGAGTAAAATAAACTAAAGGAAAATCAGATTTTATTCTCTAAAACGAATAGATAACATAAAATATTGTCCAATTAACACAAAATTAAATGCATTCTTTTTAAATTTTCCATGGAAAGGAGTTTAAGATTTTAAAACCCAAGATGTTAGATGGCATGGCCTCCTTTTGAAGTGATTTTTTCCTACTCAGTTATTCTGAACATTTTCCAGCAACTTGGACTTTTTTTTTTTTTTACTACCTAATGTCATTTGTTTATTAGTGAGTATTTGTTTATTATTATTTCTTCTTCCCCTTTGAGATGCGCTCTTAACTCTGTAGCCCAGGCTGGCCTTTAGTTTGAGCTCCTGCTGTCCGAGTCTCCCAAGTGCTGGGATCACAAAGGTGAGTGGATATTGGATGTTTTAAATGGCTCATCTCACAGAGAAACTTTGCTTTTGTCTTAATCTTAGTAAAGTGCAATACTTTTCCAAGTGAAGTACAATGCTCTCTCCTGTAATTCTAGCAACCAAGAGGATCCAGCAGTCTAGGAGGATCAAGAGTTCAAGGCCAACCTTGATGACAACAGTCAAGCTGCCCCCCCCCAAAAAAAAAGAAAGAAAAGAACAAAACAAACAAAAACTAAAGGGAAGAAAACCCTACAACACAACTCTTTGTGGTTTCTTTAGTAAAAGGCAAAAGCTAGGTAGAGTTTGATTCTTCCCAAGAGTCCTTCTTATTTTGTTTTAATGTTTCTGTGTAGTATTAGTATTATTCAAGGAGGAAAACAAATCCAAGCCAGGCCAGAGAGCAAACCTGAAGCAGCTGCTCCTCTTAGTCAAGGAGCCAGCCGCTGCTGAGCCTGGCAAGGCTGAGGACAGTGGTAGACGGCATGATGCGGAGGACTCTTCACTATAAAACACTACAATCAAGAGTGTTAGCCAAATTCTAAGTTTATAAAACAATCTTGTTATATTATTCTACTTCCACCAAGTATTGCTAAGTCCTTTTTCTTAACACCCATTTTAGATTTCCTTCAAGACCAAACTTATAATAACTCTATCATGACAGAATTCTGAGTATCAAGTATTGGCTGAAGAGATTCACTGACCCACCAGTCATGGAGAGACTTGAAAAACCAGCAGGAACCAGCATCTTTGCCCTAACTCATGCTGAAACCCCACTGACTGCCACATATCCACCAGCGCCCTCAGCACTTTCCTGGTCCCAGTGCGTGGTTCTCCCTAAAAGCACCTGAGTACTTGTCGTCCTGTGACTCATAAGACTCAAGAGTGGGGAAGGAGTCAAAACTAGCGTGTCAGCCCCATCACTTACTGTGTTGGCTTTAGGCAAAGTAATTTAACCTCATGATTTTCTGTAACTAGGAAGAGTCCTGAACAGTACACACCTCCCCTGAGGCTGTCTAGGTCAGGAAGCTTAAACTCCCACCCTGTAGGGAGCAACTGGTCTACTATCCTAGATTAATTATAAAGAGTGTCCATAATAGAAATAATGCAGATGACAAAACTCTATGACTGCAGCCTTCTCTACCACAAATGGCAATGGAGGCCTGGCCACTGGTGTCAACTGTTAATTTACTTCTCTCAAACCAGAAGTATCTTCTTGATAATACAGGTTGCTTATATTTTAATGTGTATATGCTCTCATTTAATGTAAAGAACCAATGATATCCTATAAGTCTCTTTTTCCTCTGCATGTATCTATCAGGTGACTAATTTTAGGTTTATTTCAACATCATCATAAAACTCTCTTGGAAAAACTGCTTTCTCATGTGCTGCTTCAATACTGTATTTAAATGACATTAAAGAACTGATTCAGGGCTGAGAAGATGGCTCAGCAGTTTAGAGCACTTGCTGTTTTTGCAGAGGTCTAGGGTTCAATCCCTAGTACCTACACGGTGGCTCACAACCATCTGTAAGGAACAGCTCTAGGGGATCTAAGCCCTCTTCTGGCCTCTGTGGGCACCAGGTACACATGTGGTGCACACACATACATGCAGGCAAAATATTTTCATACATATAAAACAAATCTTAAAAAATTAAAAATAAAGAAGAGACCTGCAGGCATTCTTCAGGGGGTTATTCCTGATGTGTCTAATTAAAGGAGAACACTAGTAATTATTTAAAGCCAGAATGTAGATATTTATATCCTTAAAAGTGTTTTTGGCTGAGTTAAATGAGATCAACTGTGTTCCTTACTATTTTATATACTATATTAGGTTAAAGGTTAATGTAAATCTAATAACTTTTAAATACATGTTACTAAAATGGTAAAATTATAGTGACCTAAGGTCAAGAAATTGAAAATTTCATTTTTTTTACCATTTTATGAGGCTTAAAGATAAATACAGGACTCTCCTCATATTGTCTTCTGAATGACACTTTCCATGTCCCAATGTAGACAACAGAATAAACTGGCTAAAGCTGGTCTTAAAATCTTGGAGCTTGGAAATGAGAGATAACTGGGCTCTATTAAACTGCTACTTCTAAAGTCACAATGGGCAGGGTCTGTCTGAACCATCTTACAGTTCTAAAGCCGACTATCAGCAATTCTAGGGGTCGGCTCCATCTTCCCTTCACTGACTTTTTTTTTTTTTCATGCTAATAGCACGGTTTTTAATCTTGATCTTGCAGCAGATTCTGAAGAGGTTAAAATAGTTGCCAATACTATGACTACTACTATCTGGATAGATAAGACACAGAAAGGTCAACTTAACAAGGTATTCATTACAAAACAGCCATGCAGTGGATCCCGTTAGCTATCACTCACATAGCCAGCCTCCAACTAAACAAACTGCCTACAGCGAATGAGATGTTTACAGGGAGCCACCTTGAGTTTTTAATTGAGATGACCAATAGGTAGTGACACTTGACCTAAAGACTGTACAGCTCATCCTTTCTACATCAAAATGAGAGAATTTGGTGTGTCTAATAAACAGAAGAGACTAAATGCCAAAGCATGAAATAACACTAAGGGTTATCAATCAATCAATCAACTGATTTTGAGATGAGGTCTCTCCACATAGCCCTACCTATCCTGGAGCTCACTTCAGAGATCAAGCTGGCCTCAAACACAGAGATTCATCTGCCTCTGCCATGTCCAACACTTATTTTTTGAGGTGAGAAAATTAAGTGGTCACAAAATATTATGCACCAGTGGTCCTAAAGAACAAAATTATTTGACTACGTTTATGAAATGAGTATTCCCCTTTCCAGCTTACCTGTGATAAGGATTCTAAGGAGCCTATGCATCCAACACCAGAATGGGGAACATGATTCTGAACTGTCACAGGTTGAAAGCTTTGTGATTGAGCGTAAAGTCTTACTCTTGATTTAAAAGCTTCAAGTTCATTTTTGAATGCTTCAAAATAACCTTCTTCCTCTGCCTAGAACATGAAAACAAAACAGAATGTTTCTGGACTACTAAACCACAGAGTCAACTCTGAGAAGCACATAGCAGAGCTGGAACACAGACAGTAAAGAATCATCAAAATGCAGGAGCCAGCAGTCTCCTTGCAGAGTGGCACACACTGTTTCTTTTACAGGAACACTAACAACAGTTGGTCTGCTTCCTGTTTCTTTCTGCTTCAACAAAATTAACTAACAGGAAACAACACTCCATATACATACACACAAAACAGGAGTGCCCTGGTGGTACAGTTAAGACCACTTACTCAGGAGGCGAAAGGCAGGAGGAAAGCCAAGTTCAAGGTCTAGTAGACTACACAGTGAATTTACAAAGGACAAAAAGGGTGACTTATGAGACCCTACCTCAAAATAAAAAGCTAAAACTGGAACATAGCACAGTGGTTGGGCACTTGCTTGGTAGCACAAGGTTCTCACTCAGTCCCTAGCATCGCAAACCAGCCGCATCAGCCTCTCATGCTCGCTCTACTCTCAATTAACCAGGGAAGGGGAGCTAGAGCTCCATCTAGTACATCTCAGGACTTTTTAGATTCTCTTTGTAAATGTTATAAAAAAAAAAACAAACTCAGCATTCAAGTTCATTACTGTTATCTTCAGTGCCCTAGCTAAGCAAGTGTTTTTGTAGCATCTGGAAACAAGTATGATAACTTAGGCTTAGGGAAGGGACTCTGGCATCCAGTGATGCAGGAGTCTTAAGTTCTCCATGAAAAGCCCCTCTCTACTGACAGAGGCCTCTTTTTATAGACATGTCTTTCACATGTAACCGGCAGGGTGCATACCTTGCGCTAACAGTTTGCTGGCTTTCAGTTCAGGTGGTAGAAAGACCCTGTAAAGGGAGTTTAGGTTGTACTACTTGGTTGAGATTATAGATTAGTTCTGGGTTACATAAATAATGGAAATTATGTTCTGGGATATCCCGTCTACTTGAATAATTTGCTCAGTTAGGCATGACATCATATTCTAGTTCTAGCTAGTACTCGTGTGATCTACGCTACTGTACAGTGTACACATCCAAAAGTAACTGCTGTCAAAGGCATCATGACTGCTACTCTCTGCAACCCTAAGGCCTACAGGCTTAAATCCAGAGAGCTGTGCCTGTTCAATGAAGTTACCTACAATGCAGAATGATTTAATAAGCTAACCTTTCCAAAACACTTTAAACATGACAGAAACACCCGCAAACATTACTGCCTAATTTTTAATAAAAAAAACTGTTGAGGTTAAAGACTTTAATCATTTTCAGTTGCTTTATCAAAGATAATATTAAAATGTAGTCTGGCAATGTCCCATCACCAAATTAAGTATCAGTTTAAACACATTCATCAAGGTATCACCAAAAGGTATACTTTTTATTGCTTCTATGAATCAAGTAAAATTTAGTTAGCATAAGCCTACCTAAAATTCTAACCTAGTCATTTGTTCATTAAAAGTCTACTGGAAACTGTAGGATCAGACTACAACTTCAAAGAGGTTAGAGCATTTAAGGTAACTGTCTTTTTACATTTAAAAATAAAATCGTTTTTTTTTTTTTTGGTCTGTTTCTAATAGGAAATATTCATTGCAGAATATCATAAAAAATGAAAATAATTCTATACTCAAGAATGATCAAAGTTAAACTTCTGGTATATTTCCTTTTAACTTCTAGTTGCATATGTTAAAATGTGCAAAAAATATGCATATGCACTTCACTGAGCAAAAAACGCCACTGTGTACCCACAGAAGCCAGGAGCTAGACTATCAGCAGGACTGCAGAAAGCAGCTCCCAAGAGCTCTTCTCTCCCTGGGTCTTACTCATACCTTTGTTTTACTTTCCCTCAACCATGTAGCTCTCAAAAATATACTGTTTAGCTCTGCCTTTATAAATGCTTTATAAAGCATAAAATAGCTAAACTGCCAGCTTTATAAAACAGATCTTTAAAATTGATACTGGCTATACAACTAGCTTGTTCATTCAATCATCTATATTTTTTCATCTATAATGATGATGACTATATTAATGAATATACCACAATTTATTTAGGGTTAGGCTGCTATCATGAACAAATCTATAAACAGCAAAGCAGTGAGGACAGAGATAGGAGTTGCTGTGGGACATAATTCTCGAGCCTCACAGCTCACCTGCACTCTAAAAATTCATGCGTGCAGTAATTTCTTTATGTAGGTTACATCGGTCAATTTTTACTGTATTCAAAATTTTGTAAAAGACCCAGGAACAAATCTATTCAACGTTGCCACTAGCAGTGTACTTTTATTTTACACTACTGTGTTTCCAGAGCTAAACATGACTACTTAAGACTCCAAAAGTGACCCGTAAAGTCCAAGAATGTGACAAGTCTGGGCAACAGTGACACATACTCTGAAGCATGAAGACCTGAGTTTGGATCCTCAGTTCCATGTAAACTCCCAGCACAATGGCTCACAACTGTAAGCCCAGCACTGAGAAGGGGGAAAGCCAGAGGCAAGCAGATCCTGGGGGCTTGCTGGCCTGCCAGCCTAGCCAAAACAGTAAGCTCTTCAAGTACACTGAGAGGCCCTGTCTTGGAAAATGGGATGGAGCATGATAAAGGAAAATATTCACTGTCAAGTTCTGGCTTCCACACTGCATACATAAGTAAATCTGTACACACGATATATAATAGTTAAAAGATAAAAACTGTTCTTTAAAGCCTGCCCTGTCCTTGCAAAGGTAGGAACAGTGATATCGCTTTTCATCTCCACAAGCTAACAGGTTCGTCCATCGACTGGGCATCATTACACCCATCTCCTGAGTAGACGAGAGTCAGCGTAGCCACTAACAGCACTGCAGTATTATGGAGATCAATGCTACTGAGGCCTCCTGACTATCGGGGCTCCCGAGTACATGCTGAGACATGCTCTCTATGTTACATTCCTCAAAATGGTGTTGCTATCCAGACGTGCACGTGCGCAGTTCCACTACAAGTACTTCCAAAGGGTTGCTCTAATGTGTACTTCTTCCAGCAGAGCTCAATTCTCATTGCTTTGCTACTTTGCCTTTTAGGAAACTTAATTATTAGTGATTCAGAAAACACAAAACCAGTAATCTTTCTGTACATATCTAGTTTATGTTTATATAAACATGCATCTCTTGCTTTAAACTTGTAACACATTTTTCTCTACTGTCTCGCAACAGGCTCTCACTACTGTAGCCCATGTGGAGCTGTTCTCAGAATGCAACTCATAATCCATTCTCCTCATTTCTACAAGATTTTCATTAAAAAATTGTTTTCTTTTTCTTCTGTTTGTTTTGTTTTTTGAGACAGGGTTTCTCTGTGTCATCCTAGCTGCCCTGGAACTCCCTCTGTAAATCAGGTTGGCCTTGAACTCAGAGACCCACCTCTCTCTGCCTCCCAAGTGATGGAATTAAGGTCACTGCCGCTGCCACCATCACCCAGCTACAAATCTGGTTTCTTAAACAGTGAGTTGTACATGTGGAGGATGCTGTGTCTGTTTTGTTCAACACTGCATCCTAACAACTGAAAGGCAACACTTTATGTCAGTAAACACTCCTTATACATTAAATAGGTAAATGATGAAGTACTCAAACCAGTCGCATTAATTTGAATGGGTTTCAATTTAAATATAGGGTCAAGTGCAGCCTCTCACTCTTTAAGTGTCCATCATCATGAAAATTTCAATCCTATTGTGGTGATTTGGATAGGTATGGCTCCATACACTCAAGTACTTGAATGTTTGGTCCATAGGGAGTGGTACTATTAGGAGATGTGGCCTTGTTGGAGGAAGTGTGTCACTGTAGGGGTGGGCTTTGAGATATTCTATGTTCAAGGTACACCAGTGGTACACAGTCTTCTACTGCTGCCTGCAGTCAAGATGTAGAACTCTTAGCTCCTCCAGAACCATGTCTGCCTGCATGATGCCATGTTTCCCAACATGATGATAATAGACAAAACTTCTGAACTGTAAGCCAGACCTAATTAAATGTCTTTATTTATAGGAGTTGCTGTGATTATGGCCTCTCTTCACAGCAAAGAAAACCCTAACTAATACAACTGTGTTGTATTATAAATACTAACCTATACTATGTAATCTCTATACTAGCTTACATATACTATGTAAGTACTAACACTAGACCTTTCCTTTCACTAGAAAACCTACAGCATTTAGCAGCCTAAACTGCCTCCTGATGCGCCCAGAACCAAGCTCAGCTACAGCCCGACTCTGTCATTTAACAACACCAGTTACGACTTACTTTGGCTTTCTGGAAAAACAAACGAAAACAGCCTCTTGGATCCACGTCACAGTTTTTGGCCATTTCCATAATAAACTGCATCACAACAGCTTGATGTGCTACCTGTTCCATGAGAGCGCCTTTCTGAAAAAGACACACACCAAAGTTAAAGAAAACACTCTGGAAAGAGACTGGATTGGTACTGATGTGAATTTTGAATTTTTACAGTACTTTTAATTTTATTCTCTTTACTGTTAAGTAAAATATTATATAAACATAATATGAACATCTTACTGTTATTACATGGACAAGAATAACTATATACTTTTGGCTGTGTTCATATTGTGATTGCTTTTTGAAAAATTTAAAACATGACTTTCTAACTAGTAAACAAGAAAGGAATGATTCCAGCTCAGAGAACAGGATGACCAGAACCAGCAAAGTGAGCGCACTCGGAAGCAGCACAATCCCTGCAGGGAGCTCCGAGGTTGGAAACAAACAATAAAACTTTATAATTCCTTCTAAAAACCTTCCTCCTTTCATTAAAAGTAAATAATGTAAGAAAATACAATAAAAATTAGAATTCTATTAAGGTTTCCAGACATTCAAGGTTCATACAATACCTGCTCAGCTTCTAGGTGGAAACACCATAAAATAAGATATTTAGCAGTTTCTTCACATACAAGGTATGGGTGGTCAGACAAAAATCTCTGACTATCATCCCATCGACTCAACATACCTGTAAAAAAGAATTGAATCACAAATGTCAAATATTTCCTTTCTTCCAGTGAGGAAAGAAATGGATTTTAAATGTTACTCTTTAGAGACAATTCACGGTTCCAGACCAGTGTAATACATGACAGGGCAAGCTGAGAGAGCTGAACTTCCTAAAGCAATGGCCAGGAAGATTTACTTCAGAGAATTGGTTGGGCTTAAGGAGAGTGTCCAGTTGAAGTCTCCTGCTTATGGGAATACCCAAAGTCCACACACATTGAGATACTTGATCTTCCCTTAAGGTTAAAGCTAGTACCATTACCTTAATGCTAAATCAGAACCATTTACTAAGAGAACAGGATGGTTTTTATTAAAAAGATGAGTAAGAATCTCTGCATTGCCTGGCTGTGGCAAAGACTGCACACACAAGGGCTGTCTGGGCTATACAGCCCGGTCAAGGACAGCCTGAGTAACTTTGGGAGAGCCATTTCAAAAACAAAACAAAACCAAACAAACAAAAAGATTGGGGTATGGTTCAGTGATAAAGTATTTGCTTATTATGCATGAGGCCTAAGGCTCAATCTCCAGTATAAAAATTTTAAAAAGCATGATTTCAAGAAACTATACTTGGCAAATGTAAGGGCTTACTAAAAATTCAGAATACTACTATATTACCTCTATATTTATTTTTTAAAGTGTCCAAGATATAGTAAAATTTATCAATTCAGGAAATTTTATCAACTGGGAAACAATAAGTCAGTATTGTTATTACTGATATGCTTATTATTTTTTAGTCATGCTAGCTATTTACTAATGCTGTCCATTCAGCGTGTACAGGAAACAAGTATTCTTTTAAAAACTAGTTGAACATATTTGAAAGGCTGCCATGTTATCTCAAGATACTAAATGAATCCAAGTAGTACCAAGTAGTACTTCTGCATCTTTACCTAACTTAGCAAAGTCACTATGACCAAGTAACACGGCACCTGCATGTGCTGTTCAAGTTATCCTTGTACGTACTGAGTATCACAACGCCAAAAGTTTCAGGCTTTAGATTTACACGTAGCAGTAAACAGTACAGATGTTATTAAGCCCTCATGGAAGTTTCACAGGACTGTCCTGAGAGTATGACAATAAAACTTCACTTTCAACACAAAATGAATTCCTACATACTAAATTTCACATGCAAACATGTGATCAAAACCAAAGACAAATACCTTACTTGAGAATACACAGCAACATATGGGAATCAATTGAAAAAACACTATGTTTAGAAAAGGGTTGTAGGCAATTTCAGCATTTCTTTTTCATTAAAAAAAAAAATCCCAAGGAGGACTGAGTTTCCCTATATAACTCAGTAATCCCTCAATCTTTAAACTTTTCCAGCTTCTGCTCTCCAGTGCCAGGATTATAAGTGTGCACCATAGTTTTCTGACAATTGGGTCATTTAAGATTTTGAGACACAGAATGATTATGCAAATTTTAAACTACTTCCCTAGAAATTAATGAATGCTAAAAGTCAGAGCTGATAAAAGCACCATCTTCCTTTCTGATACCTAAAGACATAAAATGCTCCTATGCACAGCCTTGGCCCACCCCTTCCCCTATACTCTCATTCAAGAAGGTCCCTTGGAACCCAGGCTGGTTTTCCTATCTCTCTCGATTGCTGGGATTATCAATCAGCCTTTGGGCCAACAGACCTGATTTACAGAGTCTGAGAGATGAAACCTAGGGCTCCATGCACACCTGTCAAGAACTCTACCAAATGAGCTACATACCGAGTCCTTTGCTGGCTGGCTTACACTTCTAAGGAGGCAGTCCCTTCTATTTTTATCTACAATCATCTATTTACCTCAACATGGCAGCATTATGTGAATGAACAAAACCCTGTCCATTTGGACTCTGATTAAAGATAATATGAAAAAGATAAGTAACACTTGTTAACAGCCACAGAGGTGAGATTCCATGCTTAAGTTTGTATCTTTTTAATAACTAAGACTTTAAACTTGAGACTGGACAAGGGTTGTATCTAATGAAGTAAATTACATCTTGAATTTCAAGTATGAAATTGAAAAGTAGTCCATACAGGTCTTAAAACCATGTGGGACTTTATAGGAAAATATTTTAAAAGAATCCACAGTTACAGAGTAGAACATATCTGAAATTACCATTATTTTGAAATCTGTAAACAGAGTAACATAATCAAGGCAGACAGACAGGGTAGCAGACTCTAGAACTACACAGCCTCGGTCTGAACCTCAGCTTCATCTTGGGCAAGTCCCTTCATAGACATCTGAATCTTCCTCCATAGAATAGGGCCAAAACAGTCCCCAACAAGAAGGATTTTTATGAATTAAAGACATTAATTCATATAAAGTACTTAGAACAGTGCCTCACATAGTAAATACTTGCTAGCAGGTATTAACACAATAGTGAATAATTCACTCATACAGCAAATACTTATTAAGACAATCTTCTGGTTAATAAGCCAGCCACTCAAACTACCAACCAGCTCCTCTGAATGCTAAGAATAGCTTACTTTGACAAATTAAAAGAACGTAATATTCCAAACCATGGGTCTTTCTGGTAAACATCTAAATGTCATCATTTCTCAATAGTCTATCTGACGTTTAAAACTGCTCCCAGTGCACATGGTTTGCATTATGTTTACAGAATACATTTGACATTTTATACCACCTACTGTAACTCCACCTACTAAAATTGCTACTGCTGTAAGCTAGGCTATCAGGTCCTTGGGAAGACTGTGTCTAGCTTTACTTGCTGAGCCCTGTATTTCCCGTGTTTCCCATCATCTATCACCAGACAACCATGCCTACATACAAAGTCATGTTAGTTAAAACCAAATCTATCTTTCTCTCTGTCACCTTAAGATGCTTCTGAGATTTTAGGTTACTCCATCAAGTATTCTATAAACTTCTCTGATACTTCCATTTCTCTAAAGTTCAGTGGTTATACATACATACAATATATTTTTTAATATTAAGCCATAACAAAATTGTTAGAATAAGACCTTAAATATTTTTTCAGGTAATAGAAATGAAGTATATTTGTTGTATAGAATTTGGAAAGTTCTCAATTTAAAAAAAATATGCAATTTTATCACAGAGACAATTTAATTCCTATAGTACATATAATTTTCAGTTCATTTTACTTTATATTTTATTCAAGTACTTCATAGCTTTTTTTTAAAAAATGGTTAAAAAACACTTGGCTTTAGAATGCAACGAAGGTGTTACAAGTGAGAAAGAAAACAGCTCCTGTACAAATGTTTACAGTGCTTGATAAAGTGTCCAGTGACCATCCTACAGAGACTCAGAAAACGCTGAATCAAAGCCAACTATGGCTGAAAGGGAAAATGACCGTGCTCTGAAAAACCACTGCATGATTCAAAAAGCAGCTCTGAGGTCCACAAAGACAATGATGTTAAAGATACAAACAACTAGTGGGAACTAGTTAAGAGTAAATACATGAGCTCTGTATCTAAATCAGCATTTTGTTTGTTTGTTTTTGTTTTTGTTTTTTTTTTGCTTTTCAAAACAGGGTTTCTCTTTATAGCCCGGGCTATCCTGGAACTCACTCTGTAGACCAGGCTGGCCTCGAACTCAGAAATCCACCTGCCTCTGCCTTACAAGTGCTGGGATTAAAGGCGTGCGCCACCACTGCCCGGCAGCATTTTGTATTTCTAAAGCACGAGTCAACTAATAAACACAAATGTAAAGGAAAATCAGATTTCAATCTTCCGTAACACTGCAATAGTGGGACCATTTACCGTCAACTGGTAAATTTCATCTAAGTGTAAGGGTAAAGACAGGAAAAAGAGAGTCATCAATAGTCTAATGGAGAGTTGGGAAGAACTCTGAAGAACACAGGCACAATTGAGAGGATGGTGTGAAGTCCCTGCAGCCTCACAGAAGTTCCCACTCACCAGGGCCTCTTTTTCAGGAGATGAGAATGGAATCCAAGTCTGGAAAGCGTCACTTGGAAGCTTTGATTATAGCTGCCATTACAGATGTGTTTTTAAGGAGTTCATCAATATATCTCATTAGTCTGGCAAATACTTTCCTAATAAGCACACATTAGCGGAAATATTTGCTTTCTCCAAAAGTGGCTAATATCAAACCCTCAGACTCTTATCTCAGACCACTATCAACTGTGCTATCACTTTATCAACATACATTTGATATCTCATCATCCCATGTAACTGGAAACTAGTCCACTCTACGTTGACGGAACTTGGCGAGCAGAAGTAGCAGGTCCCCCAGATGCCTATTTATATGATACACACATGCCAAGGAGTGGAAAGTAAAACACAGGAAAAGTTTGGCAGCCTACTACCTTAGGAACATTTCTGTGGATCCAATGTGCTGCAGCAAGTAGGGTATCTCTTCCAAAGTGAAAAGCCCATGTGCATTTCCACTAAGAAACAGGCACAATGTGAATCTGGGAGTGGCTAAAGTCTGGTTGGATTTGAAGACAGCAAGGGTCTGGTTAGTATTACAAGATAAGATGCTGGAAGCTCACAACATGCAATGGTAAAACAAGTGCTTATTAATCATCTGTGGATGTCAGGGCAGCCTTTTCTCCTGGCCATCTTATTAAACACACAATAGTTTAATGAACTAAGGGGTTATGGTGAGCATAGCATTGAGATTATGATAGACTCAAGAGAATGGATTCTTTTCATCAAAGATGTTTCAGTAGCCTAGTCTAAAAAAAAAAAAAAAAAAAAACACAAGCTAAAATTTCAATATGACACTATTCTACAAAATTAATTAGTCCAATTTCTACTTGGAAGGATCAACAATCCCTCACATGAACAAGCCCATTCTGAAGCTGAAAGTGGTCATCTCTCCTTACCATGTTTCTACTAGCAATACATTTTTTTGATCTACCAGATGATCTGGTTAGCGTAAATTATTTTTTACTTATTTTGTATCAAGATAAATGATAAATACAAACTTATGACATTCATTAGTCTTACCATGGAATACTCAGAAACTCAGTTTTACAAAGTGAGAAAAGAGTCTATTACTATAGACTCAGTCTTAGTATCAAGGTAGATTACAACAACTTGTGAAGTTGGGATGTTTTTGCACACAGAATTGTCATTTAATCAAAGCACTCATTCTACAACAAAAGAAGGTACTGTTTCTCACTTACTAGGTGGCATGGCTCCAAAACAACTGGCAAAACAAAACAAACAAAACAAAACCAAAACACGACAGCACTAGCGACATTCTTCTATCAATGTTATGTATGTCTAGAATGAAGTAGCGGCAGATGGCACATCATTTTCCTGCAGCAGACACATGGGTCTTAGTAGCAAGGATTAAGTAGAAATGGCAACTGACAACACAGGACTTGTAGGCTAGTTACTGTTTCTATCCATTCTGTCCTTCCTGGTTTAAAGATTTTAACATCTACCCAAAAGAGGGCTGCTTATTCCATTTATTTCCATATATGAAATGACACAATGAGATATCTATATCTATATAGATATAGATATCTCTATCTATCTATCTATCTATCTATCTATCTATCTATCTATCTATGAACTTGTGTGTTTAGCCCTTCAGGTACTAGTCTTTGTTGCTGTTGCTTGGGTTTGGCTATTTGTGAGTCTCATTGCCCAGGCTAACCCTGAACTTGCCATCTCCCAGCGTCAGCCTCTTCAGGGCTGAGATTACAAGATGTGTCAACATGCCCAGCTTTCTTTGGGTACTATTCTTGAATTAAATGTACAATTTCTCCTTTTGAAGCAAAAATCCTCTGAGGGACCACAATGGAAAAAGGTTTCAACATGCCGCTGGTTAACAAAACATAAGCAAGAGCCATGTCTTCTCATTCACACAGTACTTGACTAACTCCTCACACTTCCAAGCAGGACTTTCAATCCCACAGTATCATATTGCTTGTAAGTCTCAGAATACACCATGCACATATTATCTGACTCTGCATTTCTCACACTGTTGCCTAATCTTTATGGAAAATCCTGAAAATATGTCCCTCCTATAAAAACTCAGACATTACCTCCTCTAGGAATCCTTCACTTAAATCAAGTTCATTCCTCTTCACCCAATAGAAAAACAGCCAGTTCTGGGGCCAGAAAGATGGTTTAGTCATTAGGAGTACTTCCTGCTTTTCTAAAACCTGAGTTCAGATCCCGGCACCCACATTGGGTGGCTTACAACTACCCAGAACTCCAGCTGCAGGGGATCTGACACCATCTTGTGGTCTCCATGAGTCCCCTATACATGTGGCATATACTTATACAGGCACAAACACACATACATATAACGATGTATCTTTACATCTTTGTGTATACATGTCTGTTCTATTATCCAAGCAACATGTCAAGGAACTATGAATTACATAGCATCATATGCAAACCTGAAACAAGGCAAGTGAGAATCCAAGCTGGAGCAATGGCATTAACAAACTACTTCTCTTTACAACCTGATACAAGAAAACTCGGAACAGACTGTGGTGACACTAACAGAAGCGCAACATCATAAGTTGTGTTGGCCACGAATTTGGGGCCTCATTTTATAGGTTCATTGTTATACACCTACCAGTGATGTTTAAAACAATAAAGAAGAAAACTTAAGTAGTGAACTTACCAAAATGTCTGATTTTTTGCTCGTATTTCTGCATAAATGATTGTGACTTATCTTCATCTTCTGTTTTTCTTTTATCTTGATTAATAAAACTCTGGAAAAAATTTAGTGACTAAAATCAGTATTTTAACTAAATCTCTTTAAATATTGAATGCTTAGCAATCATTCCTATAGACATGATGCTATAAGAATAGATAATTAAATTAATCTGCTAAACTCATCATTAAAAATTTAAACATTCTCATTTGGTAGTTTCATTAGTTTTATTTAAAAATACAAATTTAGACATCACACAGAAAAATATCTGAATTAATCTTTTTATTAAGCAGATTACCCTAATCAAAAACAAGAATAGAAAGATTCTTTACATATGTAATTCACATCTGCATAAATAAAAGTTCAAATACTTGGAACTGTAGCCTAATCTTTGGGTTTCTCAATAGAAGCAAACTCAGTAATCCAAGCACATGAGTCAAAGATATTCACTATAAATTCTTCGAGAAGAAACAAAAAATATGGCTTGACTGCATTTCTAAAAAAAAAAAAAGTTCTCTTGGGAGGCTAGTTTAATCCTCCTTAAACTTCTAGTAAGAAAGAATTTGCATGTGTTAAGTCATAAAACAGACCAAGAAGTTTCTCATCTAACCAGCAAAACACAACAATTTTCCAAAGTATTCTCTGATACACTTATAAATTGATACTATCACTGCCAAAACTGAAATGATTAAACTAGCTCCCTGCCAGCTTGTACTTAAAAAAAAAAAAAAAAAAAAGCATCTTGTATTTTGTTACCTAGATCAATACTATCCTAGCTACAAATATACCTTAAATTTTTCTACTAGCATTAGTAGAAGCATTAAAAAACAGAGATAAGGGCTGGAGAGATGGCTCAGTGGTTAAGAGCACTGACTGCCCTTCCCAAGGTCCTAAGTTCAAATCCTAGCAACCATATGGTGGCTCGCAACCATCTGTAATGGGATCTGATGCCCTCTTCTGAGGTCTGAAGATAGCTACAGTGTACTCATATACATAAAGTAAATAAATTAAAAAAAAAGCAGAGATAAAGATGAAGTTCATAATAGATTAAACATATCATTGAACATAAAACACACACAAAAAAAAAATTAACAAAATACTTCACTTTTGGTGTATTTGGTATTGAGTAATGGAATCTGGTGTATTTATTTTACAAGATTCAGGTATGTATCCCTGGGCATGGTGTCACATGTCTGGGGGTTGGAGGGAGGAAGCAGAGGCCTACACACAGATCTCCAAGTTTGAGGCCTTTGTGGACTACCTAAGAAAGTTCCAGATGGGCCAGGGCTACACAATGAGATCCCATCTAAAAATAAAATTAAAACAAAACTGTTTGTCTTTAAAACAACAAAAAACTATTAATTTGGCAGAAGTACTATACTTTTTAAGAGACTCTACTCTCTAGATTATTAATTTTAAAGGGCTGTTTCAGTCTTTTAATACTATTGCTTAAAAGTTAAGATAGGTACCCAAAACAAGACATGGGTGCCTGATCCTTGTATTCAGTATGGTACTTGATGACTTATGCAAAGACAAAGAAGACACAAACAGGAAAGGAAGAAGTAAATGTGTTCTTATTTGTAATAATATAATTCTACAGGTCAGAGACCTCAATGACTGCATCACAAAATCTTTAATCTGATACACACTTTCAGCAAAGTGATAAGATACAAAACTAACATAAAGACATCAGTAGCTTATAAACTAATAACATGCTGAGAAATAAATGCGGAAAAAAAAATCACACTCATGATTGCCTAAAGACCTTGGAATAAACTTAACTCTAACAAGAAAGTGAAAAACATCTATAGTAAAAACCCTAAAATGCTGAGGAAAGAAATAAAAAATAGAAAATATGAAGATCTCATTGTTGATAGACAAGATTTAATACTGCAAAAATGGCTGTGGTATCAAAACCAATTACAGATTCAATGTGATCTCTATCAAAATCCCAATGAGGTTCTTCACAGAAAGCAGGAAGAAAAAAATTCAAATGGAAGCACAAAAGACCACAGATAGCCTAAACAAGTTCAGCTAAAAGAGAATACAAGAGGTATCACTGTTCTTGACTTCAATTGTGTATGAGAGAGCCACAGCTGACAAAAATGTCAAAAATAAATTATTTATCAGAGAAAAGGCAGCTTCTTCAAGTGGTAGTGGCCAACTGGATAGCCACACACAGAAGAATCTAGATCTTTATCTCAACTGAATGCATCAAAGACCTAACGGGAGACCTGAAACTCTGGTATTACTAAAGGAGAAAGTACAGAAAACACTTCAAGATAACAGGATAGGAAAAGACGCTGGAGAGGAGGGCTCCAGTCACTAAGAAATAACACCAGCAATTAACCAAAGAGACTTTACAGACAGTCTCTACATAGCAAATACAAAGAGATGGCCTACAAAATGAGGTAAAAATCTCATTTTGAGCTGTACCTCAGAGGTCTAATCCCTATTTTAAGATTAAACTGTTTTATTCTATTTACCTGTTTGTTTAGTTTGCATGAGTACAGATGTGTATGTGTATGCTTGCGCCCCCGCTTCTCTCTGTGAACATGTATGTGTGAACATATCATAGAGTATGTGTGGTGGTCAAAAGACAATCTGCAAGCGCCTCTCCCTTCACCATGTGGGTCCTCAGGATCACACTTAGGTCGTTAGGCTTGGCGGCAAGCATAATTACCTGCTGAACCATCTCACTTACCCTAATCTCTTTTACTATAGCACACAAAGAAGCAAAATACTAAATGATGAGAAATCAAACAATCCATTCAATAAATGAGCTAATGGAGTGAGCAGACAATCATCAAAAATTAAATACAAACGGTCAACAAATATATGGAAAAATGTCTGATATAGCCATCCAAGAAATACAAATCAAAACTGCATTGAGATTCCATTTTACCACAATCAGAATAATAGTCACTACGAAAACAAATAATAAATGCTCAAGGTTGCAGACAAAAGGGCACACCTATACACTAACAGGAATGTAAGAGAGCCCATCTACTATGAATGTTAGTATGTGGGTTTCTCAAGAAACTAAAAATAGAACCACCGTATGTCCCAGCTATGTACACTATTCTTGGGTATTTACCTGAAAGATGCCACTTAACATATCAAAGATAGATGTCAAAATTTGCTGCATCATCATTTTATTAGCTCTGGGACTAACATGGATGCCCAACAACTGAATGATAAAGTGAAATTAAATATATACCACTGCACGCGCACGCGCACACACGCACACACACACACACACACGAATATGCTGTAGCCACAAAAAAGAATGATGCTATGTGATTTGCAGAAAAATGATTTGCATCTGGATATAATCATATTTCTATAGATGCACAGAGTCACTAAAGCACAGACAATATGGAAACATGTGAGACTAGGGGCACAAAGGCAACTAACAGGATGGGAGTGGGTGAGAAAAGGGAGCATAAAAGGGCATAGGAGCCAGGCATCTCAAAGTGCACTGTATACCCGCACGAAAATGGCTTTATGTAATCTAGTATGATAATATTAAGTTGAAAAAAAATTATCACCTGAGTTTACTAAATCCATGCTGGTAAATTGAACGACTTTATTTACAAATTCAGTAACTACATGTGTTACAAAATCACTTGGCAGCATCAGAAAGTACTCACACCTCAGGTTTAGCACACAGGTCTGTGCTACACATCACCTTTTGAGCTGGGGTCATCCTACCTGCCTCCCTCTTCCCAGCTACCCTACATGCTGAAGGAAGCAAGGCTTAGAGATGTTGCCTGTTTAACAGGTTTCTGGTGCTTTGCAACAGTTACTTTCAGATGCTTCTGGTTTTCCTTCTTCGTTTTTATCTGCAGTGCTGGGAATGGAGCCCAGGGCCTCTTGCATGCTCTACCTCTGAGCCAAATACCCAGCCCCCTTTCATCTTTCTTTATGGTCCAACAAAGATCATACCTTATTAAAAACATCCTTACTAATGGCATCCATGTTCCAGAGACACATCCTCTCTCTTTGGACCAGAGCCTCCTCTTTCTGTCTCCATTCTTCTTCCCGTTGCCTCAGTTCTGACACCGCAGTCTGTGCTTTGGCATGTTCCTGATCCAAGGACTCAGAGTTATGCAGTGCTAAGCTGCCAAGTTTCTGCTGGGCTTCAGCAAGATTCCATTTGCACGCCACAGAGCTCTTTACAAATTCTTTCTGCTTTTGGCAAGCCAGCTCAATCCCATGGCTATACATCTAAATAGAACAGAACAACAACTGTATTAGTAAGCAATGAAGGCAGCAGCAATGACACAGCTTGTTCTTTTCCAACTCACAGGGTCTCTGTATGACGTTTTTGGTACACAGCATATCTGTATTCTTTGTCTACAACTGCAGTTTACAACCATCAATTCGACTCTAAGCTTCTTTGTTCATCTATGCCCCTCCCCTGACAACTAATACCACAAAGGCTGGCAACTTTCAGTGACTTGCAGAGCTGGCCCACAACAAACATCAGATGTGCCGGCTCCAGAATCCTTCACCAGAAGGAGGAAAGCAAAGCTTATGTCCAGTTCATCAGTCAAGGCTCCCCTCCCTGAAAATCATCCCTTCAGCGCTTTAGCCTACAAGATCTTCCTGCAGTGAACATCCTTCACTTCAAAGCAACCAGTTATTGGCTCCTAGTTTCTTTGTGTCATCACAATCTGTGATGATGTGAGAGTTCTTAACAAAAATGTTATGTAAATGATTATATCACACAGGCACACCTTACCTTAATCCTAATCAAAACAGGGACAGTTGAATTGAGAAGTGCCAACTGATGGCTCTGCTCTACTCAGGAGAAATTACTTTTAATACTTTCATAACTACCCATGTAAATGCAGTGGGTGTTTAATTCCTTATATACCTTGTCTCAACAACAAAACTCGAAGGCATTGGTTGTTTTTTTTTTTCCTTTTTTAGGATTTCTTGGTTAAATATACAACTTTATACTACTTACTAAGAATCACTGTTCTTAATCTGTTCCCAGAACTGTACCACTACTCAAGCCTTTATAAATTTACATCTCAACTGTAAAATGTAATCCTACTTTTGGTTTTCATTACCCATTCTCTACTTGAGTGACCCTTCAAAGCGGGGGGCGGGGGTGCAGTCATGCGTTCTCCTAGAGTCTATTACTATAAAGTACAAGCTCCTTAGTTCCAGTAAGTTTTACTTACTAGCTTATTCTTCCCACCTTCAGGACCCTATTCTCCCTTTCATTGATAACGCTCTGTCCTCCTAAGCCTTTTCTTATCCATTCTCTCCAAACCCAAGATATACACATTGCTATAATGGTATATTTTTAACATTTATACTTATTTTCTCCCTGATTCCAGGCTTTATAAGGAGTTAGAATTCAATAACTGTTAGATGAATAAATTAATCTTTACTTCTTGAACAAACTGTTCTGAAATGGTAGTAAACATGAGTTTTCTGGCACATTCAAGATTTCTACTGGCTATCTGTGGATACTTGCCATCCTGTTTCCTTATTTAGGGGTTATTTGGGTTTCAAGCCCAGATATTGCCATATCTCTAAATAATAAGTAAAAAATTTATTTTTACTTCTTGATACCCTAGAAAAATTATGAGGTTGGAGAGTTGGCACAATGGTTGAGGTTGCTTGTTACTCTTGTAGAGGACCTGGGCTCTGTTTCTAGCACCCATATGGTGACTCACAATGGTCTGTAACTTCAGGACATCCAATACTGTCTTTGTACCTTAGCAGGCATCAGGAATGCATGGGATGCACACACATGCATGCAAGCAAGACTCATACACATAAAATAATAAAATGATGTTTTAAAAGAATAATTATCAATAGTGTTACACACCTTTAATCCCAGCACTTGGGATGCAGAGGCAGGCAGATCTCTGTGAATTAGAGGTCAGCCTGGTCTACAGAGTAAGTTTCAGGACAGCTAGGCTACACAGAGAAACTTTTATCTCTGGGGGGTGGGGGGTTGGGGGGGGAAGCCAGAAAAAGGAGAAAAATAAAGCTGTAAAACTTAATTTGTAAAAAACAAAGTTATACCAATAAAGGCAATTATTAAAAGCAGGGTGCAAGATCTTGTCCTTTCTAATTATATAAAACCAAATATTTCTCAAATCAAACCAATTACCAGAATTGTTTATATTTAAATTATTGTCCATAGACTACCATATACCATTTGGTCATACTATCAGACATGCATTGAGATGACTAAGTATACTATTGGGTCTTTAAGAAAAAGAAGCAACACAGGGAAGTGAACCCACGTGAGGCACGCACTCTCTGCTGAGCTGCATTCTGAGCGAGCCCTTATCAAGTTTTATTTTAATCTGTGATCATATAAAAGTTTAACAGGACATGATTTTAGTGAGCAAAACTCTGCAAAGAAACTGTTATTGTTAAAGTCTACTGGAACAACTTTATATCAAAAATTCTCAAATAGCAGCCAGACAGGATCCCAGCATTAAATGGGCCAAGTGGACACAGGCCCTACTTCTAACCAAGAATTAGTTTGCAATTGGTACCTGCTAGAAAGGGAAAATCACTAAGTACCCATCTCCAGGGCCAGCTGTCCTATGCTGACAGTAGTTGGCCGACACAGAATGAACTCTTGAGTTTTTGGTTTTTGTGTGTGTTTGTGAACTTTCTGTTCCATTTTAGCATTTTAAATCATTTTTAAAATGTTATTCATTTGGTCTTTTGCTTGTTTATTTTGATTTCATTTGGATAGTTTGTTTTAAAAGAGAGGGAGAATGTAAAGTGGGGTGGATAGAGAGGAGGGGAGGAGCTGGAGGAGCTGAGAGAGTGGAAAACAAGATGCAAATATATTATATGAACTTTTAATTTTAAAAAGATACAAGGTTTGTTTGTTTATCTTAAAGTTCTCAACTTCTGGCTTGCCTTCTCACACATCACTTGTTACACTGAGATTCTCTCTTTCTCTCTCTCTCTCTCTCTCTCTCTCTCTCTCTCTCTCTCTCTCTCTCACATTTAGTAAAAATTAAGCCAGTAGTTTAAGATGGATTTTAAAAGCCTGTTGACTGATTAAACATTTTATTCTTTTTAAATATTCCAACCCTCAAATTTAAGTCTTAAAGCTTGCAAGACACATAAACAGGCTTGTAATAACTATATGTTCTTAGAAGTAATGACTTTGCAAATTTTACCACCATTTAAAGGCCTGCTCATCCAAATAAAATTTTATAGTATTTCTCTGGATAGGCAGTGCAAAAGTCAGCCAGAAAGAACGCCGGACTGGGAGTCATGAGTTCTAGTGGGGACTCTGCCACTATCTAACTAGATGATCCTGGGAGATCTCCCACCCCATCACCTAAACAAATGCACAGGGAAAATAAATTGCTTTAAGATATTGGGTTTCTTGGATTACTTCTTCTTTGAGTCAACCACAGTGCACTGAAATTGAGACGGCTTTCCCTTGCCTGCCCAAACTGACACCAGCACTTCTTGTTTTCTCCCCCTGTAATACCTACGTATACACAGATGACACCAGTGATCTGTAATTAGTAGGTGGCTACTGACCCATCAACTCTCATTTTGCCTTACTTTCCCTATGACTAGTTGGATGACCATAGTCTGTGGTTATGAAACAGCATACTGTGTGTGAGCCCAATCAACACAGCTGGCAGGCAATTTAAACCGGTCATCCTTAAGAAAAGCTGTTATAACAATTGGACCACAGTTTTGCAAAAACGCCTAGAAATCAGACACCTACAATCAATGTCATTGAAAAGATTAGTGTTTAGTCTGTGCTTTTGAAATCTAGTTCAAAACACACCCAGGTGAGCAGTCAGGAGAAGGTGATGTACATAGCATAGCATCCCCATAAACCTTAAGTGGTTGACAGCTTTCTGAGGCAGGAAAGCTGGGTTGAAAAACACATGTAGTATCAGAAACTTCGAGTAGAAGTCTGAAACAAAAGCTAATTCTGTAGCTGTATGTTTTCACTGAAGACTGACGCGGAATGAAACTATGAACACAGTAAGGGACCAATGATAGAGAGAAACGGAGGTGTGCTGCCAGCGTCAAAGACGAGGCTTACAGAATTTGCTGAGATGTCAGCGTGGGAAAGAGCACGTGAGATGTTTATGTCAGGACTCGGTGTACTATTATAGAAGTACAATCACTCTCTGTTCCTATCAACTGTGCACAAAGTAGCTGGCGCTTGTAATAAAGGCTCGGATGAAAGCACGCACAAGAGGACAAAGGGTCAATGTTATACAGCTTGGGCTGCCCCCAAAGCTCCACGCTGACACGAGAGAGGAAGAGGAGGAATCTCTTGCAAAGGTGAGGGGCAATCAGCCCAGGGGAAGAAACAAGTGTGCGTGGCCGTGGAGGTCGGGAATGCGCGCGTGGCCACCTCCTTTCTCGCGGAAGATGCTGCCGGAGCTGTGGCTTGGCATCAGGGTCCCCGCGATGCCCGCAGACATTTCCCATCCCCCGCCCCCAGCAGCACGCAGGCCGCTCTCACCTGGGCGCCGCTGTCCGGTACCGGAGAGTAGTGGGAAGAAGAGGGGGACACGTCTAAATCACTCTCCTCCTCGGTGTCCCCGCCAGTCCGCGGGAAGCTCCAAGGGCCCGGTGGCGGCCACGGCTGCTCCATGTCCCACTGGCCCGGGCCCGACAACCGCCACCGCCAACGGCCCTGGCGTGAGTGGAACCTGCTGGGCGGAGCCAGCCGCCCCGCCGGCCACGGTCGTTACCCAGAATCCCTCTGCCGCTGGCGAAGTCGATACACTCCCGGAGCAGGCCTGGACTGTGCCGCCGGCGGACTGCGGAAGAAGAAGTAGCCGGCCGAGGCGTCATTTCCGGTGGGTGTGACAGGGCGTGGCCACGTCTGGACCAAGAGGCAAAGTCTGGAGCTTAAGTCCAGGGAAGCTAACTAGGGCCTCTGCGGGTTCGGATCCGGGCGGTCACAGGGTGTTCTGACTTGTCCCTCTTCTGTTTCAAAACTGCAGCTCCTTCGTGTACACCAGTCTAAGTCGGAGTCGAAGGGGACCCTTTTAGGAAGCAGAGCCAACTTTCCTTTAACTTCAAATTACCCGCTACAAGACTGTTCTCCAAATCCTAGCACAGCAGAGGAGGACACTAAAAATAAAATACTGGGGCAAGCACGTTTGTGAAGAATTGAAACAAGTAGAAGACATATCAGAGAGCTTTCTGTCCCTCGTTATCTTTTAGAATCCTGAAGGTCCGTGTGCTCGTTGGCCCTTTTCTTTTTGAGACGAAATGACCCACCAGAGCCCGAGAACACATTTTAAGAGAAAAATCCAAAGATTGGGAATGTACCCTGGTGGTAAAGTGCTCACCTAACGTAGGCAAGGCCCTAGTTTCAGTTGCTAGGACCAAAGAGTGAGAAACAGGGATATCTAGGAACTAGGAAAGTCTAACTTCTCAGCCTGCATGTTTAACAATCAGGCTTGTTGTCTATTCACAATCAGATAAGACAACAGAATATCAATCTTTCAACCTTTGATTGGCAGACCGTGGGGGTGGGGAGGGATTCCACAGGAGTAGGGCAGAGGACCACATCAGTTTTCCTGCTCTGTCATTTTTCACAACAATCCTTTGACACAAGGTTTCTCACTGAGCTTGGAAAACTGACCCCAAGCCTTCTTAGTCCACTTACAGAGCTAGGGTTAGAGGTGCAGGCTTGTTGGGGATTTGAACTAAGGTCCTCATGCTTGCTCGGCTAACATTCTTACCTACTGAGTCATCTGCCTTAGCCCTGCCTGGCAAACTCTAAAGGTTAGTTAATCCTAATGGTTGAGCAATACATGAGAAAAATGTTGGTAAAAATGCTGTGTAACATTTAAGGAAGAGGGATGACATAGGAAGCTTATATGCTTCAGTTCTGCTCTTTCATGACCAGGAAAATATACAACTGTATTTTTACAGCGGTATCCAAAGACGTGTCTGCAAAGATGTTTTGGGGGTAGTAAAGGAAAGCTAAAACTAAGTAAGTAGAAGCAATGGAAGAGTAGATCTCAGCGTGCTGATGTGGAAATAGCTCTGAAAAGAACTAGGTGTGGTGATACAAGTCTGTAATCCTGGGAAAGACTGAGGCATGAGAATTATCATGTTCACCACCACCCTGGGCTACATAGATGGGGCACTGAGTTAAAGAAACCAAGTTGCAGAATTAGATTATGCAAAGTGAGAACTGTTTGTTTGTTTTAAGGAGCAGGGCAGAGAAAGAACACACTAGGAGATTAGAGCATATTGCCAGAGTTTGTTTGAGGCCAAGCAGAGCAAAAAAAGTTAGAGGTTTAGAGAGAATCAGATTGAATCAGCTAACTTGGAGAAGTGTTTGATCCAGAACAACTGACTTGAACCAGCCAGCCAGAGCTCAGAAAGAACAAGAAAATGTGAGCTTATTCAGCAGCAAGTCTCAGAGGCTGAAAACATTCTCAGCTTAGATTAGATTCTGTGGAGGCTGGAAGCTTCTAGGACTAGGTCTATGTTAACAGATGGCAGTAAGCATCAGAGATGACAGTTATTCAGGAGAATAAAAGATATTTTCACAAAAATCTTGGAAGAGATAGAAGAGATGTAATAATTACTTTTTGGCTAAGGCCAGGGATGGAAAATTCTGAGGGTCTTAATTTCCTATTTAGCCTTCCTGTATTGCATTGATTGTTACAGGATATTTGATTATTGTTTATAGAAAACCCAATTGTTAAAGATACTGCCTTTGTCAGATGCAGTTAGGTGTGTCCTATATAGATACAGTTTGATGTGCCACTAAAAGTCTCAATAGATAAGCAGGCTGAAGAATAAAAAGTTCCTGCCTACTTTAAGGCAAGTTGCTTGGGAGAGGTCTAGTGGTCTTTGCTCTATGACCCAATTTGCTCTATGACCTGAGGCAAAGTGGGCTGGATGGCTTTGAGCTGCCCCATCATAAAGGTGAAGCGTTCAGCCCCTACTCATTTGGCTTGGAGCCTCCCACCATGATGGTGCTGTGGTTCAACCTGCCAAAGAATAGGGGAGGAGCTAGAGACTTCTTTTATAGCAAGTGGACCTTTGAGCACTCTCTCTTATGGCTTGGAAGAGCCTTCCTGAAAGAAGCTCCGGGTAAGAGACAGGGGTTCTCTCTGTGGACTTGTAAACCACAGAGAAGCAATTGGGAGGATGCAGGTGAAACAGTATTCTAGGAAAGAGAGCTAAGGAGCCCTCTTGGGTTTGGAGGAGCTCAAGAGAAAGGCAGACTAGCTCAGTAGAATGACACAGATAGAAAGAGATTTCGAAAGAAACAGCAGGTTAGTTGTAGGATCAGCCTTGTAAATAGATATTTTGTTAAGAAAGTAAAGTCACTTCACTGAATTAGCAGATCTCCACCACAGGTCCCACCTTCTGTGTCTTTATGGATATAACTTATTAAATAAATTTAAAAGGATGAAAATTACAGCTGATAAGATTTTCCTACAAGTGTATAACTTTGTAACCATAAATAAAAGTTGAAAAGCTTTTCACGCAACCCTTGTTGAGGTCAGGTATAAAATGTCAAGAGGGAAAGTGTCACAGGTTAGAGAAAATGAAAACACTTTATTTTTCCCTTCTTTATTTATCTGAAACCACAAAGTGCTTTGAGTGGTGCCTGGCTATAACTTTAATGTTTTCAAATCCTATTTTTAATGATGGTTCTTAAATGCTTTAACCTCCCTTGTAGCCCAACACCCACCAGAGGTAGTAGAAAAGAAAGGATAGGGGAAAGTGGACCTGTTTAGAAAGGTCCTTTGGAACAACTCCCATCTGTGTTATCTGGAAATCAGCAGTTTGGTTCATAGGTCAGTAGCGGCAGCTCGATCTGCTCGCAAACACTTCACAGATATACCAACAGTCCAGTTTGGTAGAGTCCGGATAGCAAACACACATCAGCAGTGGTGGCATTACCTAGCAGAGATAGCCAGGTCTCAGTCTTTCTTGAAACAGCAGGAAGGAGCAGGAGGAACATCAGAGGTTCTTGGCTGTGCCTCTCTCTGGGAAGTGAAGATCAGCGAAGACTTGAGACGCACAAGCATTGCACAGCTGGCTCTATAAGCAAGCCTAGCTCAGCCTCTGTCACTGTCCCTGGAGTCCTATTTATACCCTCTAAACATCACATGTCCTCCATGGGTCTTGCCTTAGCACAGTCAGCTGATATCACTCTGGCAATCAGCCCAAGTCCTCGGAAGTGACAAGAAACTGCAGCACATCACCAGAAGTTTTTTGGTGCATTTCTCTCTGTGGAGTCCTGATAATCGCAGCTCAACTACGCAATGTAAAGTGGCCCAATACATGCTTGTTAGCAAACAATCCTTCATCACGTGTGCTTTCACAGGCTTGTTTTAGCAGAACATCCTTTCACCTGTGTCTGCTTCAGCAAACCATTCCTTCATGAGTCTGCCTTAGTCTTTCACCTGTGTCCACTTCAGGAAAACACTCCTTCAAGGGTTTGTTCCAGCAAAATATCATCCAACCGACTTTCCAAAGAACCCTTAAGTTTCCACTTCATAACCCCCTTTCTGTTTTAAGAGTTGTCCTTTTCTCTAACATTAGCTATCGATACACCATAGAAATAAGAATCATCGCACTTTCAATAAATGGCTTATGTACAATATAGTCTAACAAAAAACTTTAAATTTCTATCAATATATAATGAACAAAAACCCTAAATATCTCTCAATATACAATAATTCAAACAAAAAAACTTAAATTTCTATCAATAAACAATAAAAAACCCTTAAATTTCTACTAATATACAATAATTAAACAAAAAACAAATATCTTTTGTTTTAGGGTTTCTATTCCTGCACAAAACATCATGATCAAGAAGCAAGTTGGGGAGGATAGGGTTTATTCAGTTACACTTCTTCATTGCTGGTTTTTTAAAAAAATCTTTCCCATTAACATGATGTTTCTCATGAAATTTTGAGGCTTCTAACATATTTCCTACTAGTAGTTGGTCGATTTCATCATTTCCTTGAGCTAATGGACCAGGCAAAGCTATATGAGATGAAATATGAGTAATATATTGTAACAAGCCATTCTGCTGCTCCGGTCCGCGGGTCAGGGAGCAAGAGAGAGAGTGGGGACAGGGACTCGAAGAATGGAGACAAGACGAAGTCTGGTCAAAGACGGAGTCTGCTGCTGGAGATGGAGTCTGAGTCTGTCTGCTCTGTCTAGTCTGTCTGCCTGAGTCTGTCTGAGTCTGTCTCGGTCTAGTCTCTCTGTCTAGTCTAGTCTGTATGCTCTGAGTCTATCTGCTCTGAGTCAGTCTGTCTAGTCTGAGTCTGTCTGGAGACGAAATCTGTCTGCTCTGACTAGTCTGTCTGCTCTGACTCTGACTGCCTCTGACTGATATCTCTCCCGAGTCTCTCAAGTGCTGGGATTAAAGGCAGGTGCTACCACTGCCTAGCCTTGACTGAAAGGATCAAGATAATTATCAGAGTGTGCTCAGCTGTTGTAGGCTGTTGAAAACAAGTCTCTTGTCAGGGTACATGGCTCAAGATGGCTGCAAAGATAATAGCCGCCCTCGGCCCAGAGTCGGCTCCCAACAATATATAATGGATAATTTCTACTTTTGATGACATTTTGTAATTGTATAAATAGCAAAGTTAATTCTGAGTTGTTAGGTACAAATTCAGAAGTCTCTATTTGCAAAACAACTCTTTCTGCATATAAAGAATCAATAGGTTAAGAGGTTCAGATACTCTAATAATACCATAAGGATAGCATACAATTCTGATGTTTTAACCGATTTATACAGATTTTTGACCACCTTGCTTATTTTGTCTGACTTATAACCTG